GTACGTAGAAGTTATCTCATTATGTTTCTATAGTGAATTTATTGTTGCATGTTCAAAACTTGCATTTATGAAGGTTTTGTATTAAAAAACCTGAGATCCATACCTACTATTGTGTGTTTCATGGAAAACTTCCCTTAGGTAGGGGGCATTACTAATTCTTTTATTTTAAGCTGTCAATAAAGAATTACTTTTCATCATCTTTTTTTTTTTAATTTTCTTGAATCTGAAGAAATATTTTACTCATGAGATAAAATAAACAAGTGCATTGAGGAGTTTTCACTTTTTGTATAGATTGATTCATACTTAATAATGCGAGGCGTTGTGTTCCTGGTACGAATCAGTACATAATTAAATTATCATTATTAAGCATGATTTTACAATATTATAATTTAGTTTCTAATATCAAATAAATTTTCTTCCTGTTTCAGCAGTATTGATCATCATACATTATAACATTAAACTTTTATACATGTTAGAGATATCAATTTACATTGTCCCAATATTGATTTGAATAAAGTTTGCTCTTAATTTTTTTATCATGAGTAACAAACTGGATGAATATCTAAGTGTTTCTTTCCAGATAAAGAGACATTTCGCACACAAAGCAATAAAAGAATGGTAGTTACAAGGATATGTTATTGTACCATCTTATTTCCTACAAAACTTCTACAAATAAAAACTAAAAACACTCGAATGCAATATGCGAGAACGCTTGTATTTAGGGACAGTACACAAGATGACATAATAAATGTGCAAATACATGTATAGCATAAAGCAATAAATATTGTAATTGGTTAATTTAAATTTTATCTCTGTCATATAAAATGTTTTGCAAATCGTGGTCGACTCGTCCAGGAAAAAACCAAAAAACAAATACCCCCAAAAAAAAATAACCCCTTTTAAAGTTTTTTGAATTGATTTCAGTGTTATTTAAGGGAAAAATATTTTTGGAAACCTGTGCCCATTTGCCATCACAGGAAAGTGACTGTCAAAATACCACCGAAATGTTGGGCCTCATCCTTGCAAAACATTTAACATTTATACAAAACGATGTAAAATGTCTACACTATGTTTCCGTTAAAAATTAAACAATACATTTTATTTAGGCAAAGCTTGTACGCTTTTAAAATATTGTACATTTTCACAAAATAATTTTGGCATTGAATTTGAATGTGAGAGTGTCCCTAAGAGTTGCTCGCTAGAAACTGATTTCCGAATATGAAAACCCCGATTAAATACAGCTCGAATCATTCGAGCGAACAAAGAATGTACATAAACCGGTTTTGTATTAAAAACGCTAGTACAAAGGTACTCATCTATACGTTGTAACGATGAGTACCAAATATTATGTGTAAATTTAAGGAGAAAATTACTTGTGACCATTACCCATCGGAGAAATAATAAAATGCAAAAGCCCCCATCAGGAATATGCATTACTTTATACCAAACTTTTATGACGCAATCCCCCATACCCTTTCCCCCCCCCTCTGATAAAACTCCTGGATCCATGCACCAGTTTGATAAACAAGTATTTTCATTTTTTCTAATTTCTCTTAGGAAATTGCCTATAAAATTAAGTATAGGGTCTAGTTAAAATGCACATTTAACTTATTGGTATAAGGTTTCTAAAAAAGCAATTCACATTGGAGTCAGAAATATAAAAAATGTGACTTTAATTTATTGCTTTAACTGCTAGAATTGATTCAGGCAGTGGTGTTTAAGTTGTTGTTTATTTCAAACAATTTTGATTTTTGAAGTTAAGATGATTGTAGATATCAATTATTTCAAGTGATGGTTGTTGTATTTAAAAATAGTTGTGATTGTTGTTGTTTTGCTGATGATTGTGATTCTAGCAGTTATATTATTGTTGTTGTTTTCCAGATGATTGTGATTCTATCATTCTAGCAGTATATTTCAGATGATATTTCTGTTTATTTCAGATAATGATTATTCTAGCATTAATGTTGTTGTTTATTTCAGATGATGGTGATTTTGTTAATTATTTCAAAAGATTGTGATTCTAGCAGTAATGTTGTTTTCCATTCTTTCAGATGATGGTGATTCTATCATTCTTGCAGTAATGAAGTTGTTTAGACATTAGATGATTGTGATTCTATAAGTAATTTTGTTATATGATTGTCTATTTAAAGATGAATCTGTGATTCCTATCATGATCTTAAGCACATAAAGACTGTGTTTAATTTTCAGATGATTCGATTCTAGCGTAATGGTAGTTTAGATATTTAATGATGGTGGTGATATAATGATGAGGACAACTAGCTTCTGGTACAATACAACAAGTACGAGATACTTATCCCACACTGCATTAATCTGTAAGTATGACTAAGTTAAATAGAAACATCAAATACGGTAGGCTATCTGATTGTTACATAGGAAGCAATACCCTTCAAGTATAGTCAGCCATTGCAAGAGTGGTCCTTTTGATAGTTCTTTCTCTTTTTGGTATCATTAGGAACATAATAACACTTCCCTGCTTGTCATATTTATATAATGACACCCAGAAAAAGTTACCAAAACAGAGCATCTGAATATGAATATTCTATCGCTGTCATCTGTCCTGTCGCTCAACACAATATAGAATGTAACCACAGAATAAAAAAGAGCCATCAATGGGCTTCTCTGGAGTGCGTGTAACTGATCCTCACTCAGTATATAACTGTGCATGTATATGTATATGAATTAAAATCTGACAAATTAAAGAGAAAGATAAACAATTGTTTTATATTCTACTTACGCGTGGACCTTGCAATCCAACCTTCTAACATCCGGAATCCTTTCTTATCCGACGAAGTGTCCGGACTCTCCGATTATTATTCGTTCTATTTTCAATAGTAAAAAACCCTTTCGGATCAGGGAACCTGTCCTACATCCGAATACCGAAACTATTTTTTCATTTTGTTCTTTATTTTACTCTAAAAAATTTAACCGTCTCGGATCCAACAGATTTTGCCCCATTTGTCACACCTTAATATTCAAATAACTAACCCAATAACGCAACATCTTTGCAGATTAAACATACACCAAACTGAATTTAGTTGTTATTTCGCTTGATTAATGGTGTTGAAACGGTGCGTATCGATCTGCGAAGGTGTGGAAAAATAACACTTACATGTTACATACCGGAGTGACACAACAACGGGCCATTATACAAGGTCTTGTTTGAACGAAAACTAAACGAAATTGGGCCCTGCTTGATATTCTTCTATAATTGCTTAATTAAATTGTTTTTTTCGTCAGCTTCTATAAATATTTTGATATTAGATGACAACTAGAAATATCCTTTAATCCTTTGTATATGGGATTACAAAAATGATACGTGATTAAGTAAGTAAATGATTAATGGAAACTGTCAGTGAATTTCTGATAGTCGCCCCGTCCGCCCGCTGAATCGGATAAGGAGTAACAACAAACAATGAACAAATTGCTTGGTACGACCATATCTAATTCATGTCCTCGGACATCCTGATTAACACGTAAGTTAGCTTTACCCCTTGAGGACATAATATTTTTGCTTTATTATATTATTTTATTTCTTTATTTTTGTAATTTACATGTTATTAAAAATTGGAACATAAGAGATTGCAAAAAATAAAATATCTAAATTGCGCTATTTTTTCAAAATGCATTCCCGTTTTCTTTCCTTAAAACTATTTGCAAAATACATGAAAAAACATGTAAAAACCTTCTATATCTTGAACAACCCTTGCCTTCTAATTCCGTGAAACTTTCCTAATCCCGAACTTTTCTTCTGGTCCGGACGAGTTCGGATTAGACAGGTTCCACTGTATATTGTCAATAATATGTGCTTATATAAATAAAGTCCTGTTGTGTAAACTTAGCTATCTCCTGTCATAATCATTATTACTGGTCACATGGTTAAGCTTTGTGTATGAATATAACAAAAATATTTTATATTGCTGATTTTGTTGTATGTTAATGTTACTTGTTGTCTACAATTTATGAAATGAAAAATAGAACAAAATTTAATGTTTGATCGAAAAATTTAAAATTTGAGTTTTTGCGTATTCTTTGCAAATTACTGGAACTCTTCTATGGCAGAAGATTATTAACATAAGATATATTCATGTTCAGTTTTTAAATTTGAATGCATTTTTATGGGCAGGTAACTTGATCATTTTTCTCAGTTATGCCCCCTGTTTGACTTTAGGATTATTGATGAAACCTTTCCATAATATCAGTGTTAGGATGACTGAACACCCAACAAGCCATGTCATTTAACATGTTGTACGCCTTTCGGAAAGAGAGTGATTAAGGAAGTAAACATTCAAAACATAATTATGTAAAATGTAAACATTGTGAAAATGAACATGTAGAAGCCATTCTGATGATATTGATGATGTAGGCATAAAAATATTGCTTGATTACTGTAATTTTTTATGATATTATGCTTCAGTCCTGATTCAAATCAGTTACTTATCCATTTCAACGATGTTAAGATTTGTAATATCTTTTTAACAGAAAAAAAACACCATCATAAAATGCCAATTCCATTCTGGGACTGTCAAGTTTAACAGTAAATATTTTTGTTTTTTGTCTTAAATGCATTTTCTTATAATTAGGGTGTTAATTTTACTAGATTTTGCCATGGTAGATAAAAACTGTATAGATTATCATATGTGTAAGTCTGGGGCGCTGGGACATACGTCATATTGAAAATGAAACTATATGTACTACATTTCCCCAAGGATTTTATCCAATTTTCAAAATTGTCACTAGTGCCCTCTCTGCTATTTCAGGGATTTGTGCTTTGATCATTTATGGCAAAGTTATGGCCCTTTGTTATTTTTTTTTCTCACTTTAATGAATACATTGGCAGAAAACTGGGTTTGTGACTATATCCTGTTTCTGTTATTTGCTGATTTATCTGCACGTCCAGACAACGTTAACCAATGTGATATGTCTGTTAGTCTATAGATCTGTGAATTTTTTTCACCTGTATTCTTCATTTATATATAGACATGTACATGTTTGATTTATTGCAGCCAAGAAGAAAGGAGAGAAGTGGCTATCTCTATAAACAAGGAGGGTAAGTCTATATGCGCGCAGTCTGATCAGGATGCGCAGGTTGGTCTGGATCCATGCTGATTGCAAACGCACTATGTTGGTTTTGTCGTGACGCGGCTCATATGTTGTTGTAATATTTACCTCATTCATGCCCTGTTCTCATATGAATATATTATTTCAAGCTTAGCTCAATTCACCTAAAATAGTGTATTGAAGATTAATAACAAGACATGTATATAAATTATTTGTCAGTCATTATCAAAATATCTTTTTAAATTTTAGCCGCTGAAAATTAAAAATTCAATAGCAGTTCTTAAATCTGATTGTTTTTATAGTCATTTAGATTTTATTGTTGGTTTATAATGGCATGTACAGATAAACGTTTAATGCAATATTTTCCCAGATAATGTGTAGTTATTTAGTTTTTGTTGGTTATATAAATAAGTAATTATTATATTTCAGAGTAAAACAGAATCGTGGCTGGAGGAAAAGATGGGTTATATTTGATGGTAAATCCCTGAGATACTACTGCAATGCTAAGGTTGGTTTCTCTATGTTTCTATACATTATATTATATATCAAACTTTCCAGTCAGAGCAGCAATAACAACTTACCTTGACAACCAGTGTCATGTCACTAGTGCAGAATGTACTGATTAGAATATATATTCTTGCATAAAACTGCACATAGGTATTAATGGATAAATTTACGTGAGGACTTACCTTTGTAGCATATTTTTTAATATGCATGACTCAGAGAGCTAAGTCAAAATAGCTTACTGTAAAGATGGGCTCGGTAGTTTCATTATAAAAAGGTATGGCACTAACATCTGAAAAGTTAGCTAAACCTGAGTCTCTTAATATGAAAAACAATTAACTGAAAGCAGAGTTACCAAATCACACATATATATTTTAATGCAAGAATAGTGCTTATGCACTTATTTTCATGCATTAACATCTGCAGAAGCTCTTGGCCCTGCTTGCTTTGGTTTTACATGTGTCCTTACATTTCTGCAGCTGTTAATGCACTAAAAAAGTGCATTAACCCTGTATTGATGACTGCTTAGTTTTAGTATTTTCTTATTGAAACATTTAAATCAACAATAATCTGTACCAATTCAAAACAGATTCAGTTTTACATATTTTTTCACTACCACACAAAAAATTACTAAGGTTCTTGTTATGAATTCAGATAGGTCTAGAATTTATTTAGATGGCATGAGTTCATATTATACATTATACATGTATTGTGTAGGGAAGTGGTTACTACAATGATAACACAATCTGCAAATGGGTAGTTATTATCAGAAATACATTCCATGACTGTTGGTGCTGGGTTTGGTAGTTTACCTTCCAAATCATGGTAGTAAGCCACATTGCATTAACTAGAGCACGGTTCAGCCACCGCATCTTCCCTTGGCAGGTTGTCAAGCAGTTAGCAAGTGCTAGTTGGCTTCACTTTCGCCAGGAACTGATAACTTCTGTACATGCCAGAGCAGAGGTAATGTGCAAATGACTGTAGAAAGGATTTCATGATCAATCACAACGAAGCTGGTTTGCACCGTGCAGGAATCGAACCTGGGTTGCCTAATTTACAGTCCCAAAGGTGTAACTATTGAGCTAACTGGACTTATTTCTATGATTGTATACACTTTCAGGATCAAGTATCGAAGAGAATCGTGCCATTGTCATGTATGACCAATGTTGAAATGGATGTCAAGGTATTCCTACATTCTTAAATACTAATGCTTCATTCATTGTTTAAAAAAATGTCCTTTTTTGTCATAAAAATGTGATTTTTTTTAAAAATTGTTTTAATAGTAAATATAATAGCACAATAAAAACGAAGCTTATGGTGTTGATCATGTGTGTGATTTAAATATGTTGATCCCGAACATTCAAATTAATATCCTTTCTTTTGTGAAATTCAAAACTAATCCCCCATTTTTTTAATAAATAGAACCCTGCCTAGGTTACTTGCTTGTGAAAAGGCATTTCATAATGAATTTGGTGATGAAATAAAAAAGTGTGGCAGGAATTAAAAACTGACTTAATACTCATAACAGTGTTTACTTGCCCAGAGCCATTTTGACTCGGCTCTTACTGGTAGCTGTTTAATATTTTGAAATTCTACTTATATAATAACCAGTTGAAATGCTTTCAAGGAGAAGAATTCTATAAGACAAGTCTTTTGTTCTCATCCTTATCCATTATGTAAAAATATTTTGTGTGTCGATTATTATACCCCCAAAAACGAAGTTTGGGGGGGTATATAGGAGTCACCCGGTGGTCGGTCGGTCGGTCGGTCCAGACGTCCGTTGCATTTTCCTTGCCCGGAGCATAACTTGAAAACTAATGGTTGGAATTCAATATAACTACATACAATGGTCAAGCACATTGAGAGGAAGTGCAGTGCACAAGAACCATAACTCTATCTTGACTAATTACAGAGTTATTGCCCTTTGTTACTTTTCCTTGTCTGGGGCATAACTTGAAAACTACTGGTTGGAATTCAAAACAACTTCATACAATTGTCAAACACAATAAGGGGAAGTGCAGTGCACAAGAACCATAACTCTATCTAAAGTAATTACAGAGTTATTGCCCTTTGTTGCTTTTCCATTGCTTTTTTTTTGTCCGGACTATAACTTGAAGACTAATTGTTGGAATTCAATATAACTACATACAATGGTCAAGCACATTGAGAGGAAGTGCAGTGCGTAAGAACCATAACTCTATCTTGACTAATTACAGAGTTATTGCCCTTTGTTACTTTTCCTTGTCCGGGGCATAAGTTGAAAACAACTGGTTGGAATTCAAAACAACTTCATACAATTGTCAAACACAATAAGGGGAAGTGCAGTGCACAAGAACCATAACTCTATCTAAAGTAATTACAGAGTTATTGCCCTTTGTTACTTTTCCATTGATTTTTTTGTCCGGACCATAACTTGAAGACTAATTGTTGGAATTCAATATAACTGCATACAATGGTCAAGTTCATTGAGAGGAAGTGCAGTGCATAAGAACCATAACTCTATTTTGACATATTACAGAGTTATTGCCCTTTTTACTTTTCCTTGTCCTGGGCATAACTTGAAAACTACTGGTTGGAATTCAAAACAATTTCATACAATTGTCAAACACAATAAAGGGAAGTGCAGTGCACAAGAACCATAACTCTATCTAAAGTAATTACAGAGTTATTGCCCTTTGTTGCTTTTCCATTGCCTTTTTTGTCTGGACCATAACTTGAAGACTAATGGTTGGAATTCAATATAACTTCATACAATGGTCAAGCACATTGAGAGAAAGTGCAGTGCACAAGAACCATAACTCCCTCTTGACTAATTACAGAGTTATTGCCCTTTGTTACTTTTCCTTGTCCAGAGCATAACTTGAAAACTACTGTTTGGAATTCAATACAACTTCATACAGTTGTCAAGGACATTAAAAGGAAGTGCAGTGCACAAGAGCCATAACTCCATTTTGACAAAATACAGAGTTACTGCCCTTTGATACTTTTCCTCATCAGGAGCATAACTTAAAACATACTGGTTGGAATTCAAAGCAAGTTCATACAATGGTCAAGCACAATAAAAGGAAGTGCAGTGCACAAGAACTATAACTCTATCTTCAGTATTGATAGAGTTATTGCCCTTTGTTCCTTTTCTTTGTCTTTCTGGACTTATTACAGAGTAATTCAATTAAACTTCATCAATGGCCAACCACATTGAAAGGAAATGTAACATATAAGAACCACAACTATCTTTAATTGCCCACAACCATAACTCTATATTTCAATTCTTTTACAAGGTATTCTGTTACTAGTAACATCCTCATTTCCGAAGCAGTCTTGTGGGGGTATTAATCACATTTAGTGATAGTTCTAGTTTGTCAAGTCAAGGTCATTTAGAGATTTTAAAAATAAAAATAGAAATGGTAGTTTATTATCATTTCAAGTTTTTTTTATTAATCTTTGATAATCAGAATAATTTCAAACATATTGTGCAAAATCCAGCCTCATTTTTATTGCAAGTTTGACATGTATCCTTAGCACATAATGTCTGCAACAGCAATTTTATTTGTGTGACATATAACCTTTTATAAGATATTTCTTTCAAGGCAAATCATGCACAGTTTTATTGTTTTATGTACAAAAAAATAGCTTAAAGATATGCTAGCAGTGGTTGACAAAGTGTCCCCAGCAGTGAGTACACCAGAATGCACTCTTCCTTATCTACCACTGTATTGTAAAAATTCATGTATTATCTCCCTTGATCATTCCTTTAGATATTGTAAATTATCTCCCTTTAATAAATACATTTGTATTGATAGTTGTACAATATGGAATGATTTCTGATGTGTTATTATATCAAAATGTGTATAAATATTATGCTAGTTCTTTAACTCCAATTTTCTTATGTTCACATTTTGTTATCTTAGTGATTGAGATGTGATTTGTTGTCAAGATATGGAAGAACAAATTGACCTTCCTGGGTTAAATAAGATATAATGGAATGTTTAAGTGTATAGAAAAAAGCAAGCAATAATACATGTACATGTATGTTGAAAAGGCTGTGTTATATCTTGACACAGGAAGCAAGTTTTTTAGTTTTTTTTTGTGTTTTTTGTGTGTTTTTTTTCATTTATTCACAAGTCTGTTACCAAATTATTTGAGTGGAGATCAGTCTGAAATGTTAGACAGATTCTTTTACTTTGTATTGAAAATTGTAACATAATTGTTATGTAAGAATAGACATTCTAAATGACAAAAATTAATTCTTTTAATCAGTATAAAATATATGTTAATTAGTTTTGTTACGTTTGGTCCTGTCACATTGGTTTATAACTGTTAGAAAATTAAATAACTGGTTACCGAGGTTAGTATTAGACCAATAGCCAAAGAAGTTTAGGAAAGATTTTATATGTTATATTTGTTTTTACTATGACAAGATATGACATTTTGTTTTTAATTAAGTTGGGCAGACCTGTGGGTTTTTTTCCAAATTGCATGCTATCTTATTGTGTACCTTTAGGGCCCCAGCTGAAAATAATTACTCTCTAATTAGATAACATTCGTAATCTTGTTGTGTACAACAAAGTAGAAACTAAATGTTGTATCTTGTCATTAAGAAACAAAGTTAATGTTTAAAATCTAAGAGTTCTTTTTGTACAGTCAGTTAAATGTTTAACATGGTTATTAGGTCACAGTTTATATGTGGTTAGCATTTTTTGCTTACCTTGTCACCCCTTATGATAACATTTTAATAAAACATTCTTTTATTAATTATTATATTTCTACTAGGACCGACCATTGTCAAGAATTATGATAAGTTAATCTGATTTTTTTGTAAGTCTTAAATATTGTTGTTGCATCTTCCCTATGTTAGGCACCCTTATTAATTAATGCTTTAGTTAAACTTTATTTTAGTTGTGTTCACTAATACATCCTGTTTATTTTGGAATGGCTCTTGTTTATACTCAGTTATATCTTATATGTAATGAATGTAGCATTCTTTTATTGTACTGTAATGCTGTGTTGTATATTTTGTTATAAAGTTTTTCCAGTGTCATTGTAGTCCTACAAAGCTGTTACTTTATGCTTTACTTTGATCAAGTTTGGGATAGACAAAAAGATAAGCAGCAGTACTAGTGTCTATCTGTGCCACCAGTCACTAGTATAGACTAGGCCTGGGCCTGTATATCCCAATATAGTCAGGTCTAGACCTGTAAATCCCAGTATATACTAGGCCTGGGCCTGTATATCCCAGTATAGACTTGGCCTAGGCCTGTATATCCAAGTATGGACTAGGCCTGGGCCTGTATATCCCAGTATAGACTAGGCCTGGGCTTGTATTTCCCAGTATAGACTAGGCCTGGGCCTGTATATCCCAGTATAAACTAGGCCTGGGCCTATAATGTCCCAGTAAAGATTAGGCCTGGGCCTGTATATCCCAGTATAGAAAGGTCTGGGCCTGTATATCCCAGTATAAACTAGGCCTGGGCCTATATGTCCCAGTAAAGATTAGGCCTGGGCCTGTATATCCCAGTATAGAAAAGGTCTGGGCCTGTATATCCAGTATAGATTAGGCCTGGGCCTGTATATCCCAGTAAAATGACTAGGTCTGGGCCTGTATATCCCAGTATAAACTAGGCCTGGGCCTATATATCCCAGTATAGATTAGGCCTGGGCCTGTATATCCCAGTATAGACTTAGGCCTGGGCCTGTATATCCCAGTATAACTAGGCCTGTGCCTATATATCCAGTAAAGATTAGGCCTGGGCCTGTATATCCCAGTATAGACTAGGCTGGGCCTGTATATCCCAGTATAGATTAGGCCTGGGCCTGTATATCCCAGTAAAGACTAGGTCTGGGCCTGTATATCTTTTTAGTCAGATCAAATACTATACTGATGACCTTTCAGTTTAATATTTTGATATTCAAATTGTTTTGTTTAAATCAAAAGTAGAAACAACCATGGTAAATACAGAAAGACAAGGAAAACAGTTGAAAATTATTAGTCAAAGTAGATTAAAAACAAGATAGAACAAAAAATTATAGATACTAATAAATGTTGAATACATGCATCATAAGAAATAATATCTTGTACATGTGTGTATTGTGTGCAAAGATATTGTTCATTGCACATAGCCTGTATACTACTAACAGTTTTATACATGTAAAATGAAATATGTCAATATGTAGTAACCTATATACATTACATGCACTTTTCAATATTTTGTACCTGGTGGGTGGAGCAGGCACACATATGACTTGTGACAGAAAATGTGGGTATTTGATCAAAAGAATGGTCCTGAGTGCTGGAGTCACATCCCCCTGGTCATCTCATACCTTAAAGCGGGGATTTAAAACATCAGTTTTATATTTACTAGGTTAGCTACCAGCAAAATATTGATAGATGCCTATTACATATACTAGTACAATTGTATATAAAATTTGAGTGGATTAGAAAAGAGCAAAACTATAAAATATTCAACACTGTCGTGTGGCTTCATTTCTAGGGGCTGTCATTGGTCTATATGTATTGTTTTAGTCTTGATAAATTTAGAGTTATAATGATTACACCAATATAGGAGAATACACATATTAACATAAATGACCATTTTATAATACATGACGTATGACTTTTATATATGAGGAGATAAGTTCTACATTTTTAGCTTTCTGAGATATTTTGATATATCAAAGTTTAGAATAAAGCTTCACTGAAGAATTACAGAATTATATATGAATATATAATAAGAAAATACTTATGTATTACTGAATACTTTTTATTTCATATTCTTTTAGATTTATGGTTGAGCTGTTATAGTGTTTTATCTTTTTTTACAACAAATAAAAAGTAGCATAAACATTACTTGTGATGCACTGCAATACAATTTATATTTAGTAACAGACTACTCAAAATAATTCAGTTGTGAAATTATTGAAGTTCACAGAGAAGGTTTTTAAGAGAATGTCAGATTAAAAGGCCAATACAGTCATTCTTCAATTATAATGCTGGGATCAACACTTTATTTGTAATGGAAAAAAAGTTAAAACAAGTTAAAGAATTTTATTCCTGCTTTTATACTATGAATAAAAGTTCATCCCATGTAAATATAGTATCTAGTAATTGTTGCTTTTTTGACGCTAGAATGTTTTACTGAGATTCAAGCCCCAAAACTGGTATCATATACAGTTCGATAAAACTGGTATATGACTGAACATGTTTGAATATTGTGGGTTTAGCTTATATTGAATTGATTTTAGTTTGATTGTGTATTACAAAGCCATCAATCTTTGTATTACGTGTCTGATGCTTGAACCTCTTGACCATGTTGCCATGCATTTGTGACTTTAATATCACATCAGTTTGAAATTTTTAAGTACATAAAATATATCATATCATTTACAGATTGTTAAAGAGTTGTTATCTATAATTTTCATACACAGGGAAAAAAGAAAAGAAAAAATTCCCATAATTCATCTGGTCAGACACCTGTAAGTCAGCCTGTTTTTAGCATAGGGAGCTAGCTTGTCAGCTACCCAGTCAACTGTTTTTGCAGTAGAAAAGCTTAAAATATACAAAGTTTGGAAACCACTTTATATTTTCATCTCTTCAACATGAGACTGTTGTATCTGCTTATTGAATGTAGATAAGGTTTCAACATTTGCACACTAAGGTTCCAGTTTTTCAGTTCTATTTTGATATGCATGGTTTCTTATGTCCATTTCTAACACAATTTGTCACTTTTTCTGAAGTTGATAATTCTTACAGCTATTTTCAGAGTATATAATGGAGATTGAGGACACTGTCCTACTTACCCATTGGTGTTGGAACAACACTTGGATTCACATGCAGCTTCATTTTTCAGACATCCACTTGATTTCATTCATCTTTTTGTGCATCGCTTAAGGTTATTTTCCAAGACTGCTAACTCTGGCATGGATTTTTAGTTCACCTGTCGCAAAGTGACAAGGTGAACTTCTGTGATCGCAATTTGTCCGGCGTCTGTCAGTGGTGCATCTGTCGTCTGTCCATCGTCAGTCCATAAATTTTGACCAGTGACTTTACATAGCAACAAGTAACTTTCCATGGCAACCAGTGACTTTCCATGGCAATCAGTGACTTCTCTTAGCAACCTGTGACTTCCTATAGCAACCAGTGACTTACATAGGATCCATTTACTTTCAGTCGCTACCATAGACCTCTTTAGCAACCAGTGACTTTCCATATCAACCAGTGCCTTTCCAGGGCAACCATTGATTTTCCATGAAAACCAGTGACTTTCCATAGCAACCACTGACTTCCATAGCAACCAGTGATTTTCCATAGCAACAAGTGACTTCTCAGAACAATCGGTGACTCTCAATAGTAACCAGTGACTTACATAGGAACCATTGACTTTCCATGGCAACCATAGACCTCTTAAGTAACCACTGGCTTTCCATGGCAACCAGTGACTTTCCATAGCAACCAGTGACTTCTCAGAACAATCAGTGACTCTTAATAGCAACCAGTGACTTACATAGGAACCATTGACTTTCCATGGCAACCATAGACCTCTTTAGTAACCACTGACTTTCCATGGCAACCACTGACTTTCCATAGCAACAGTTATCAATATTGCAGTCATTGACATTCCATAGCAACCATTGACTTCCATAGCAACCACTTACTCTCCCTAGGAATTAGTGACCACTGACTTTCCATGGCAACCAGTGACTTTCCATAGCAACCAGTGACTTCTCAGAATAATGAGTGACTCTTAATAGCAACCAGTGACTTACATAGGAACCATTGACTTTCCATAGCAACCATAAACTTTCAATAGCAACCAGTGACTTTCCATGGCAACCATTGATTTTCCATAGCAACAGTTATCAATATTGCAGTCATTGACATTCCATAGCAACCATTGACTTCCATAGCAACCACTTACTCTCCCTAGGAATTAGTGACTACTGATATAGCAACCACTTAATTTCAAAGCAACCATTAACTTCCATAGCAATTGGTAACTTTCTATAGCAACCATTGACTTCCATAGCAAACAGTCACTTTAAGTAGCAATTAGTGACAATCATAGCAACCATTGACTTTCCATAGCAATCATTGACTTTCCATAAGAACTATTGACTTTCCATAGCAACTGCTTGCTTTCCATAGCAACCATTGAGTTCTATGGCAACCATTGGCTTCCAAGGAAACCACTGATTTCGTATAGAAACTAGTGCATTCTTTGGTAACTATTGTTTTCCCTAAGCTAAAGTAACCATTAAGGTTTTTACACATGTACTTTTTCAGATACAAATTTGAACTTTATGATATCAGTGTAAGATTTAGATTTTATATGATATCTGCTTTCGCTTATACAATATTACTTGTTCCTTGTCATTTAGAGTATATATATATTCAGGTGAGCAATATTAGGACCATCATGGCCCTCTTGTTACTAATTACTTTGAGAGTTCCTGTTAATTTTTTGCTTGTAAATATTATGTCCACAAGCTTTGAAGGTATTTACTTAGAACTTCACACTTCTTTGGAGTCAAAATGTTAATTGTTTCAATTTGATATACTCATCATTTCAATTTGATAGACTCATCATGGCTTTTGTTTTTCTAGCATAGAAAGAAGTCAAGGTTGTGGTCACAGTGCCAGCTATTTTTTTTTTTATTTAAGATAATTTAAGCTCTAGTCACATGATATATTTATATGAAAAGTCAAATAATAGCCAAAGATTGAACTATAATTGTGTTGTAAATGTTGTTCTCCTTTCTATATTTATTTACCCTAACCCATTCCTTTGCTAATGTTTAACATTACAGCATATTGTAGACATATTGGTATTAGATCAAAGTTTAGAATGCTAGAAATAAAAAAAAGACATTAAGTTAAAACATTGCAAGGTTATAAGGAATTTCTATCCCCTTGCTAGTTTGTACAGTTACTGCTTTTGGTTCATAGTTTAAAATTTGGTGAAATATTTGTAGAAGAAAACAGTTATCTGGCTTAAAAAACACAAGGGCCATATTTGTTATTTATTATAGCCAATTTATAACTGTAAAATATAAGTTGTAGATATATCTTTGCCCTATATAACCAGAGCTAAAGGTGAAAACAATGTAGTTTTTTTTGTGTGTGCAATCCTCCATGTTTTACTGGTAATTGGCCAATATGACCCTTAAATGTAATACAAGAAGTTGACTTCTTCATTTAAGTTGCGATATACACAGTTGAATTCTTCTTTTAAGTTGCAATATGTAACTTGGGTTGACTTTTCTTTAAATCCGTGTTTTTGAAGCATTATTAATTACTATTTTCAGTCTTTTTGAAGCATCATTACTATTTTAATCTTATCTTTCTATGGCCATTTCAAAAAAGAAATTCTTATTTATTTTAATAACATGAAATTTGTTATGAGATTAACATGACAATGTTATGATTATGATAATGTATTATAACATGAAAATGTTGTAGTATTATTTTCAGCAGATGAAAGTGATTACCCACTTGTTATATATCATTCTATACTATAAGAGGAAGTGAATAAAACGTGAAAGTTTGAGTACCTGTTTGTAGTAGATCATGAAATCTTTACACATTACTTTATAAGCCTTATCATTATATAATAATAAATTTCTGAATTTCATTTTTGGTCAAAATGAATGTAAATTTGGCTTCTTAAAATTAGATTTTAAATATATGGTATTTATACATAAATTAAAAAAATACTGTAATTTCTTTTTTCTACTTTCAGCCAAACAACTCAAGGCAGTTCAAGTTTAAGTTACACTGTACTAACAGGGTGTTTTTGTTTGCTACTGATAATCTAGGTAGTGTATCAACTTTTATCATACAAATTATAGGTTCCAAGTAGTTGCCCTGAGCCCCACTCTAGTCATGATTTTGTTTCCTTAAATGCCACCAGTACCGCTAAATGGGGGAGGGGCTTGAGAGTTGTTCAGTTTAGCTTTAAATTGTCATCACAATTGAATCAAAATGAATCAAATAGTCCTATAATTAAATTGTGTCAAGAAAGTTAACAGTTGTCACACAAATAGGATTATATACATAATTAGGATATATGCACATCTTTTAACTTACTTTATTTCAGTATTGTATTTCAGTATTGTACCCCTTTGAAAATTCTTTAAGAACTTACAGTAAACTTGACTCCTTCATCATCATTTATATTTTATATTTTAAGGCCCATAATAAGTTTTATCAGGTCATTCTGAAATGGGCAAGCTCATTCATGTGAGGAAGCCACCAAGATTTATCATATGAGATTGATAGACTCTTCCATCTTTTGATTTTGACAAAACCATTTATCTTTCTTTGGGAAAATTTCAAAATATATACTGACTGAATAGTGAACAGTGCAGATCACAATCTTGGACTGCACTGGTCCCATGTTGCTGTCAGTAGGCTAAGGGTTGATACTAAAACAAAATATCATGTGACCTACTTCAGTTTTGTGATTAACAAACTGAATTGATATAAAGTTATTTACTGAAAGGACCAAACCGCCTCCGTGGACAAGGGCTTAGAGTAGATGACTTCTAATCCAGTTACCGGGAAGATGCTTTGGTAGTTTAGCACGGAGGAAGGTAGTCTAGTACTGGTGTAACTCTCCAGGAACGATGGTTAGGAAACTACCAACCTATATGACTGAAATACTGTTGGGAAAAGGCGTAAAATGAAACAAACAAACAAAACAAACTGAAAGGACCAATTGCTTTTTTTCATGAACAAAATGTTAAGATTTATATGTGTATACTTTGGTCAATAAATGTATGTGAGAGGACTATAAACAGTGTAGCATAGATGCTTATAACAAAAGAAAGAACATTTTATTATCTCTTATGTTCTTATAAAAGGTAAGAAGAAAAGATGGGAGTGAAATCTCTCAATGGATCATATAAACATATATCTTTTATTTTACTCTCACTGATTTTCCCTACAAAATAGTCGTGTAGATTGTCCACCTGAGTAATATGGTCATTATGTTTTTCAGATGATTGTAAGATGTGGTCAAATACCTTGATGGAAGCTATTATCACTTATGATGTAAGTTACAATAACTGTACCTATAATGTAGTATGTTAAAATAATAGCAATAATATTAATATGTTTTTGAAAATGATATTGAAAGCTACTATCCCATGTATTTTGGACATTTTTGAAAGAAAAAAATCTCATCCAAATAAAAAGTTTCACCACAGGCTCACACAATCATATGGGACTAGGTTATAAAAACATGTCTTGCCCGATTAATAAACATCTTAGTAAAGTATTTGCAATGTTGATTCTGCTCTAATTTTGAACAGTTGCAACATTTGAGCCGCGTCACAACAAAACGAACATAGTGGGTTTGCGACCAGCATGGATCCAGACTAGCCTGCGCATCTGCCCATACTGTTCGCTATCAGTTTCTCTACTTGTTATAGAGTTCATAAGCGAACAGGATGGATCCTGATCAGACTGCGTGGATGCGCAGGCTAGTCTGGATCCATGCTGGTCGCAAACCCATTATGTTAGTTTTGTCGTGACGCGGCTCATTTTATTTTGTAAATATTGACTTTAATTTTAAACACACCCTTTAACCTTGCATGTAGATATGTTGGTTGCGGGTTAAACAATTGTTCGCTTGGTAAGTTTTTTTTATCTCGCAACAATATACCATAGAAATTATGTCTATTAAAAGAGAGAAAAAAAGAAGAACATAACTTGATTATCTGAGTTAAAACTGACATTTATATTTAGCTGCATCAATCTGTTGTGCTCGCTACATGTTAACGGGTGTGATAATAGGGATGTTTATATCTTTATCAAGTGAAACATAATAACTGCTAAATCATCAAATGTATGTCACAGTTTTTTCATGGACACTGCAAATTTTACTTCTATGCATATTTGATAACAGTAAACAAATATGATGATGTTTTTTCACCCGTTTTGTATTGGATAGTAGCTTTAAGTAAACTTGTTGAAATATAATTTTTGCACTCAAAAAATTATTTAAATGATATTTTTTTTTTGTATTTTTTAAAATGTAAATTGCAGTAATTGAACTTTTCTATAAACAATTATAGAAATATATATGTTGTGAAATCAGACACTGAAATATTTGTTCAAGAAATAGCTATAGTTTGTACTTCGCTTAAACATTTAGATATCTAAAGATATATAAGAGATATATTTCATGTAGATGTAATTATGTTAAGATATGTTTTAAAATATGTTTCAGAAACCAGAAGGAGGGGAGGAACCAGGTGGAGATATGGCCAACCCTGACATTCATGTAATTACTAGTATTTCTTATTGTTTTTCCAAGACACTTTTCTCAGAATTACAATTTACTCTGAAATGTTTAGAGTTTAAAATAAATTATAGTTTCCTGATGGTAGCACTTTGTCTATCAGCTTGATGTGGTCATACAATAGTTCTTAAGATAGTCATAAAAATAGTAATGAAAGCCAACACTATGTACTGGTAATATATAATGTCTTAATATTTATGTTATGATGATTATAATATCCCATCACATGATGTGATGGGAGTACACTGGAATCACTTTGTCCAGTTGGTTGGTCTGTTGGTCTGGGTTGATCTGTAGTCAGTCTGTCTTCATTGTGTTCTTTCTATAACTCTTATATCCCTTTAATGATTTTCTTCAAATTTGACTCAAATTTTCACAACAACAAGGCAATGTCCAGATCCTATGCTGTGGCTGTGCTGGATCAAGGTCAGTCTTGAAGGTCAAATGTCTGACTTCCAAAGACAAGAGTAGCATAAATCCATTAAAAATATAAATCAAACGACAAAACATTAAAACTTTGTGTTAAACTATGAGTTGTTAATATTTTATTGTAAGTTTGTTGGTAATGGGATGTTTCTTTAAATTTCAGGATTGGATAAAGATAAATAAGAACAGATACAAGTTTTATGTTGTGTTAAAGGGCCATAAACTGTGTTACTACCAGAACGAGGATGTAAGTATTGTATTTATATACACACATAGACTTTGTTACCCTCAAATGTAGGAAAGTTTAGATGGGTATATGATAAATTACATGTACACATAGATTTGTGTTGGTATATTGAACTATAAATTGAAACAGTTCAAAACATTATAATATATCAATATTGAAGAGGACTCGGTATATATTTATAGAATATTTCATGTCCATGAAAAGTAAGTTTTCAGCATGGAATTTATTATGTCTCACTTAAATTTCCATTAAAGCCTTAACAGGTATACCCATATAGGTGATACTTGTATTGTACAAGATAAAATGTACACTAATGTACAAGTACTAATGCAGGAAGTACTATTTTACTATGAACTTGAGCCATGTCACTTTTGAAGTGTTTTATTTGGTTAATAATGCCATGCTGATGCCAAATATATGTTACACTCTAGACCACTTGTGTTTCAATATACAGTCTGCTACATAGACTGTGAAAATTCTTCTACAACTAAAGAAAACATGCTAAAACCAGTCTGTATATGGTCTTTAACTACATAAAAACAGCCAGATCTTGTTTCACCAAAAGGAAATATTTCAAGTTTCCCACGCTGATTTATTAGTCATATGCTGCAAAATGATTTGAAAACTTGCTTGAAAAAATCATTTAGATTAATATATATATGTCAATATGTCAATATTGGGTGAAAATCTGTTATTTTTGTAACAAAAATTTATTAATTTTGATGAATTTGTAAATATATAACAATATTTGTTTTGTTGTATAACAGGATTTTAAAATGGCGTCTCCGTTACATGAGATAGATATGAAGTTATCGTCTGTAAAGGAAGTAGACAGGACTAAACTTCAACTTAATACACACTATAGTACTTTTCTGTGAGTATATCTCTTTTATTGTTTTAACATAGCAAATATTGGGTTCATATTTGTATATAGAGAGTGGTGGACATAAAACAAAAATTGTGTTTAGCCTTCAATATGCAGCTAATGTATTTTTTTGTGTGTTTAGCCTTCAAATATGTGGCTTATGGCTTAATGTGTATGTATCACCGTTCATCGACACATTTGAAGGCATTATCTGTTGACAATTTTAATCTTGATCATTACATGTTGTGTAAGCCTTTTGATTTGGAAATAAAATGCTTTTAAATGAAAATTTCTTTTTTGAATATTTATTTATAGACCTTGAAGTTCAAGGTTAAGTTTTGTTTTCAAAATTCACGAAATTACCCATGGAATTTGTTATTTATTAACAGATTGGGGCAATTGTGTTTCATAAGCCCCATCTTATTTTTGATGAGAAAGTGTCATGTAATTTGCTTTTACATTGGAAACTACTTTATCCTGAAAATTTGATTTTCATATGGTATTTTAAAAGCTGTTATTAACATTGACATTATTGTTTCCTTTTTATGTTGTAACATCATTATACAGCAAAAGGTATCAGTTTTGTAGCAATCATTTTAAACCTGTTCTACCATATCTTTATTTAAGGATTTTGAGAAAGGTCTTATTTACGTGTTAAAGATTGAGGGTATATTTCCAGGTTACATTTTGAGAGTTCGTCCGATGCCTCTAACTGGAAGATGGCCATTGAAGAAGCTATAACTGATGCTCTAGGGGATAATACTGTACGATATTTTATTGTTTTAATCTATTGGAATATTTGCATGTATGTTTTGTTTGGATATGTATGTTTTAAATCAAATAATTGTGCATGTAAATGTTTAAATTCAGAAAGTAATGCATAAATTCCTAGTGGTGTATGTATGATTTGTAAGATTTTGTGTTATTTCTTTCATTTTTAATTTCTTAAGTGTCTGGATGTATGCATTTTGGTTTGTGTCCTTGAATATTTTTTGGGAAAGTTAATAAAAATATTTTTGATATGCTTAATGCTAGTGACTTGACTACAGAAATGTGATACAAGTATTTTGAGAAAAAGAACTTTATCATTTTGCTTTAATATTGTTATGATTATTATCCCCCGCCGAAAAGGCGGCGGGGGATATAGAAATAGTCTCCGTCCGTCCGACCTTCCGTCCTTCCGTCCGTCCGTCCGTCCGACATTTTTGTCCGGAGCATATCTCTAAAAGTATTTGAGTAATCAACTTGAAACTTCATAGGTGGATAGACCTCATTGAGGAGGAGTGCAGTGCACAAGAATGATAACTCTACCCTGCATAATTTTTGAGTTATTGCCCTTTTTTAGCTCGACTATTCGAAGAATATGAGAGCTATTGTAGTCGCCCCGGCGTCGGCGTCGGCGTCAGCGTCCGCGTCGGCGTCTGCGTTGGTTAAAGTTTTTTGTAAATTCAATATATTCAATTATTGCTTGAGATATTCAATTGAAACTTACAATACTTATTTATAGTAACAATGTACATCAGATTGACAAGTTGGATAACTCTACCTACAATATTGACAGAATTATGCCCCTTTTTAACTTAGAAATTTTGGTTAAAGTTTTTTGTAAAGTCAAATATCTCAATTATTGCTTGAGATATTCAATTGAAACTTGCAATACTTATTTATAGTAACAATGTACATCAGATTGACAAGTTGGATAACTCTACCTACAATATTGACAGAATTATGCCCCTTTTTAACTTAGAAATTTTGGTTAAAGTTTTTTGTAAAGTCAAATATCTCAATTATTGCTTGAGATATTCAATTGAAACTTGCAATACTTATTTATAGTAACAATGTACATCAGTTTGACAAGTTGGATAACTCTACCTACAATATTTTCAGAATTATGCCCCTTTTTAACTTAGAAATTTTGGTTAATGTTTTTTTGTAAATTCAAATATCTTAATTATTGCTTGAGATATTCAATTGAAACTTACAATACTTATTTATAGTAACAATGTACATCAGATTGACAAGTTGGATAACTCTACCTACAATAATGACAGAATTATGCCCCTTTTTAACTTAGAAATTTTGGTTAAAGTTTTTTGTAAAGTCAAATATCTCAATTATTGCCCGAGATTTTCAATTTAACCTTACTTATTTATAGTAACAATGTATATCAGTTTGCAAAATAGCATAACTCTGCCTGCAATATTTGTAGAATTATTTGTTTTGAAACTTAAAAATTTTGGTTAAAGGTTAAAGGTCTTCAAAGATATTTACTTGAAACTTTACACATGTACTTAGGGTCATAATTGGAGAGTCATAATTGTTGTATGTCACTGACCAAGTTCCATAACTCTACTCGCATTAAGGCTGATTCATCTCCCCTTTTCTACTTAGTCTCTTGGTTAATGTTTACATGCAAGTTTTACATATCTCAATAACTATTAAAGATATTTATTTAAAACTTCACATATGCATTTAGAGTCATAATTGTAGGTCACTGACAAAGGTCCATAATTCTATCTTGCATTTAGGCTGATTTTTCTCCCCTTTTTCAACTTATGGTAAAGTTTTGCTTGTAAGTTGTTATCTCAATAACTACTGAAGGGTTTGTGCCTTTTTTGGGACAATTTTATGCATTCATGATAATAAAGCAGTGATTTACTTGATAAAACATCTTAATAACAAGCCTTTGTACCTTTTCTGTCAAATTTATGTATTCATAGGTAATTAGTATTATTATACTCAAATAAAACACCCTTGTGACATTACCTTCCGAATAGTCAAGCCAATACTGTATAATTAGACTCTCTCTAAGGCCTATAACATGAATTTATAAAAAAAAATTAGCCCTTTTGTGAACTTAAAAAAATTTAACATTATCAAGGCTCTTTTACTATCAAGCACTTAGGATAGTCGAGCGTGCTGTCCTACTGACAGCTCTTGTTTATTTTTCAAAATTAATTTTTGTCCAGAGCATAACTCAAAAAGCCTTTGAGATATCAAAATGAAACTTCATAGGTGCATAGATCTCACTCAGGAGGTGTGCAGTGCACAAGAATGATAACTCTACCTTTCATAATTTTAGAGTTATTGCCCTTTGTTATTTATTTTTCATACCTAATTTTTCACCCGAGTGGAGCATAACTCAAAAGTGTTTGAGATGTCAACATGAAATGTCATAGGTGGATAGATTTTATTGAGGAGGAATGCTGTGCACAAGAATGATAACTCTTCCCTGTACAATTTTTGAGTTATTGCCCTTTGTTCTTTTTCTTACTATTTTGTCCGGAGCTTATCTCAAAAAGTATTTGAGGTATCAACTTGAAACTTCATAGGTGGATGGATTTCATTGAGGAAGAGTGCAGTGCACAAGAATGATAACTCTACCCTGCATAATTGTTTAGTTACTGCCCTTTTTTTATTTTTCAAAATTAATTTTTGTTCAGAGCATAACTCAAAAGGCCTTTGAGATATCATTATGAAACTTCATAGGTGCATAGATCTAACTCAGGATGTGTGCAGTGCACAAGAATGATAACTCTACCTTTTATAATTTTTGAGTTATTGCCCTTTGTTATTTTTCATACTTAATTTTTCAATTCAATTTTTTTCTCAAAAAGTATTTGAGGTATCAACTTGAAACTTCATAGGTGGATAGATTTTACTGAGGAGGGATGCAGCACACAAGAATGATAACCTACCCTGCATTATTTTTCAGTTATTGCCCTTTGTTATTTTCAGCCATCAGTATTCACATAGGTTTCAAATCTGTAATCACTATAGCCATCAGTTTTCATTACCAAAAGACCTCTTAAAATGGAATTATTCTGCTGTACTACATATACATTCTTCCAATGAGCAAACACATTCGGCAGGGGATGGCCATGTTGACATGGCTCTTGTTTTTAATGATTTTTTTTTTTAAGAATGAGAATGTGTAGAATGAAATTTAATTTCTTTATTGTCTATAAACACCACTAATCTTGTTTATTCTTGTTATAACAATAGTGATAAGGAAGTTATGTTTGTTTGTAGATATTAGACCAGGTAAAAGAAAATCCAGAGAATGGAAAATGTGCAGATTGTGGTGCTACAGGTAACTGTGCCCTCATAAAATTAAACTTAATAATTATCAATTAATTAATTAATTAATGTGAATATTGTAAATCTATTCAAGAATTTTCTATGCCATAGGTTTAAAGACATGTATTGCATTACAAATTATTTGCGATAATACAAATTTTCATGGACTGAAAAAATTGTTCCTGTCCAGTGGTTAAAATATCACATTATATTTTTGCATATAACTGTTGTATAATTGTTAAAGAAATAAATCTAGAATTCAAAACTTGAGTGGGAGGGATAACTTTTTGAATGCTATGTGTGGATTTATGTGCCTGCCTGTGTCATCAATATAGTGTCATCTGACCTAGTATAGTGTTTAATATAGTGTCTTCTGACCTAACTCTACAAGCTGCATGGCTTTATCATTTTGCTCTTAAAATCTCTTAAAGATTATGAAAGATTGATAGTAGGGGGGATAAATCCTCTACTGCATAAATTTATTAAGGTAAAGGTTAATATAATGTCATGTCAAGGTTTAGAAAAAGCCCTTGATATTTAATAATCATCTTTTGTAACTGCAATTTTGTATTTAGCATATAAATGTACATGAAAGCACTAGTGTTTTGATCAAGATGGAAGTTATTTACACTTTACATAGTCACACGTTTCATGTATAGATTATGTTGTTTTTACGGTGATAAACATACATCTAATTATCTTGATAGATGCACACTGGGCTTCTATGAACCTTGGTATTGTGTTGTGTTTACGCTGTGCTGGGATACACAGAGGGTTCGATCCCCGGCTGTCAAAGATCAGATCTCTCAGAATGGACACTAGAGTCTGGAACTCAAGTCTTATTGAGGTTTGTTTTACTTCCTGTTCTGTTCTTTGCTCTTTCTTTTAACCTCATGATTAACTTGCGGCAATCTGCTCTTTCCATTATTACCGATGGGAAAACTTAGCATGTATGGTGGTGGTGGTGGTGGTGTTAGTAGTTTTCACTTCGGATCATGGCAGTAAGTCACATTGAATTTACCAGAGCACAATTCAGCCACCGCATCATTCCTGGGCAGGCTGTCAACAAGTTGACCAGTACTAGTTTTTCCTTTACTTTCACAAGGAACTGATTACTTCTGTACATGCAAGAGCAGAGGTACAGTGCAGAAACTTCCACAGAATATACACTGATCAATGAAAATTTGGAAATTTCAAGGAGGCCCCTTAATATTGTTGTTATAACTTTTGACCCAATCCTTTTGTATATTTATTACATTAATGTATTTATGTTTAATTAGATATAATTGTGAAATTTTATTTATGTATATATATATTCAACAAAACATGTTTAAACTAAAACAAAACTAAAATTTGGAGATTTGAGACAGAACTCAGAAATTTTTTATAACCCTGAGGCATGATTAAAACTGATAGAGCTTATATTTAGACTTACATACTTGATTAAATACTGTGTTTGAAATGGGGATGATTAAGGAAGATTACACATAGCTGAAGATACACATTTTGTCATTTTGTCATAGGCAATGAATGAAAGTTTCATGTGTTTAATTTTATTTTCTGTAACAGACATCAAATGTGTCATGGATAAAGTATAAAAATCTGTTGATGACCATTTGAAGCATATTAATTTATAGAATAAGTTGTTGATTTAAACAAGGGCAGCATATTATATGTAAATTTTCCTATTTCAGATGTTTAAGGAAATAGGTAATGACAATGCGAACAATTTCTGGTTAAAGAACATGCCTCCTAGCAACAGTATTAACATAGATACAGCATGTGAGGCAAGAAAACAACATATACATTATAAATACAAGGATAAACTTTACTGTGATAAACATCCCCTTGCTGACAATAAAGATTTGTTAAACAAGGTACGTATAACAGGAACTTTATATATAACATGGTTGTAACTCATTATAAGAAAGATTTGATTAGCTAAAATTACCTTTTAACTGTTTAACTCGCAAAAAAGTTATGCAAGTTGTAGCATTAATTTAGTAACTCTGGGAATGTGGTTTGAGTGGTATGCAGGGTTCGTACAGTCTTAAAAAGTGCTTAAATTTGAGTCCCTTTCTTAAAAAGTGCTTTAAAATGTAAAAATATGCTTTAAAGTCCTTAAATTTGATTCGATTTTGAAATATGTTTAATAAGTGCTTAAATTTGCTGAAAATGTGCTTGAAAATGATTGAATGACATAGTGTCGATAAAAATCAAAAGTTGATAAAATCAATTTAGTATCAAAATCAATGAAATAATAGCTCAACGTAACAGTAAGTGGACAAATTGCAGTTGTTTTGAAATATTTGTGTGATGCACCCTTTGATGTTCTTCTAAAAATCCTTAAAATTGTGGCCAGAAAATGTGTATTCAACAAAAAATGGCGAATAAACTATTCTTCTTAGGTTGAAGATTGTGTTAATATGTGTGCATCAAATCTGCTTGAAAAATGGGAAAACATGCTTAAATAGTGCTTAAAAAGTACTTGAATTTTGGCATTTGGTGTTTGTACGAACTCTGATATGATGCCAATCATTATAACAATTACTTCACAAAATTTTGAATTTTTCTTTTAGAATGTAATATACATGCATATTATAATGAGATATACATGTATATAATGTTTGTTATAGGAACTTGTTCAAGTGGCTCAGTCAGACAATGTGTTACTTACCTACCAAATACTACAGTCTGGTGCTGATGTAAGATTTTCTTTATTTTTATATGCCCGAAAAAATTTCGGGCATATTATGTTATACCCCCTGGCGTCTGTCCGTCCGTCCGTTAGCAATTTGGTTTCCGAAGCATAACTTAAGTTCCATTTGGCCTACAGTATTCAAACTTCATAGGATGATTGTCCATATTGGGTAGAAGACCCCTATTGATTTTGGGGTCACAAGGTCAAGGGTCAAGGTCACTATGACCTTAAAACTGAAAACAGTTTCCAGAGCATAACTTAAGTTCCATTTGGCCCACAGTGCTCATACTTCATAGGATGATTGTCCATATTGGGAAGAAGACCCCTATTGAATTTGGGGTCACAAGGTCAAAGGTCAAGGTCACTGACCTTAAAACTGAAAACAGTTTCCGGGACATAACTTAGGTTCCATTTGGCCCACAGTGTTAAAACTTCATAGGATGATTGTACATATTGGGTTGAAGACCCATATTGATTTTGGGGTCACAAGGTCAAAGGCCAAGGTCACTATGACCTAAAAACTGAAAACAGTTTCCGGAGCATAACTTAAGTTCCATTTGGCCCACAGTGTTCAAACTTCATAGTATGATCGTCCATATTGGGTAGAAAACCCCTATTGAATTTGGGGTCACAAGGTCAAAGGTCAAGGTCACTATGACCTTTAAACTGAAAACCGTTTCCGGAGGATAACTTTAGTTCCATTTGGCCCACAGTGTTCAAACTTCATAGGATGATTGTCCATATTGGGTAGAAGACCCCTATTGATTTTGGGGTCACAAGGTCAAATGTCAAGGTCACTATTACCTTAAAACTGGAACAGTTTCCGGGACATAACTTAAGTTCCATTTGGCCCACAGTGTTCAAACTATAAGGATGATTGTCAATATTGGGTTGAAAACCCCTATTGATTTTGGGGTCACAAGGTCAAAGGTCAAGGTCACTTTTACCTTAAAACTGAAAACAGTTGTCAGAACATAACTTAAGTTTCATTTGGCCCACTGTGTTTAAACTTCATAGTATGATTGTCCATATTGGGTTGAAGACCCCTATTGATTTTGGGGTCATAAGGTCAAAGTCACTGTTACCTTAGAACTGAAAACAGTTTCCGGGGCATAACTTAAGTTCCATTTGGACCACAATATTGAAACTTTAAAGGAGGATTGTTTTGTGAAGGAGGTAATACTTTATTTAATTCCCATGTCTTACAAATGCTTCATCTTTACTAAAAAAAAAAAAATCACTTTCGGGCATATAATGCTTCGCCTTGCGGTGCTCTTGTGATGTAATGTATAGAGGATATTCATGTTTTTTCAATAAATACAGGAAATAATTTAATAAATATTTCGTGAGTGGTGGTTACCACAAGTGAAATATGGTAAATTAGTTAATTTTCATACAACAATTGGTAATACATATGCATTTGACAAAACTTCATACATTTTTGTAATTTGGAGTATTTCATGCTGCCAAGAGAAATGAATTTCAATAAATATTTACTACATAATCTAGATCTTTAAATTTTTTTTTCTTTATATTTTGTATGATACATTTATGCTTCATTAGTCAATATTTATACCCCCGCACAACAAAGTTGTAAGGGGGGTATACTGGAATCAGCTTGTCCGTCCGTCCGGCTGTCCGCACTACCGAATAAGGATAGGGGGCCATCTAACGGTAAACAGAACAAAAGAGAACAATAGAGTTCATTCCGTTACAATAGAGTAAGGGGCCAATGGCCCTCTATTAAACAATAGAAAATAACAAAAGAAATGGCCCCTTATTCCATTTCGGCCGGACGGTCCGTCCGTCGGTTTTTTCTTGTCCGCCCAATAACTTAAGATTCCTTTCACCCTTAGTCTTCATATTTGGCATGGAGGTTAGTCATGATTAGTAGATGACCCCTATTGATTTTGAGGTCACTAGGTCAAAGGTCAAGGTCACAGGGGCCTTGACTTCAAAAAGCTTGTCCGCCCAATAACTTAAGATTCCTTTGACCCTTAGTCTTCATATTAGGCATGGAGGTGAGTCATGATTAGTAGATGACCCCTATTGATTTTGAGGTCACTAGGTCAAAGGTCAAGGTCACAGGGGCCTTGACTTCAAAAAGCTTGTCCGCCCAATAACTTAAGATTCCTTTGACCCTTGGTCTTCATATTTGGCATGGAGGTTAGTCATGATTAGTAGATGACCCCTATTGATTTTGAGGTCACCAGGTCAAAGGTCAAGGTCACAGGGGCCTTGACTTCAAAAAGCTTGTCCGCCCAATAACTTAAGAATCCTTTGACCTACAGTCGTCATATTTGGCATGGAGGTTAGTCATGATTAGTAGATGACCCCTATTGATTTTGAGGTCACCAGGTCAAAGGTCAAGGTCACAGGGACTTTGACTTTAAAAACTTTGTCTGCCCAATAACTTTAGATTCCTTTGACCCACAGTCTTCATATTTGACATGGATGTTGATCATGATTAGTAGATGACCCCTTTTGATTTTGAGGTCACTGGATCAAAGGTCAAGGTCATAGGGACTTTGACTTCAAAAAGTTTGTCCACCCATTAACTTAAGATTCCTTTGACCCACAGTCTTCATATTTGGTATGGATGTTGATCATGACTATAAGGTGACCCCTATTGATTTTGAGGTCACTGGGTCAAAGGTCAAGGTCACAGGGACCTTGACAAAAAAAAGCTTTTCTTCTCAATTGCTAAAGAATGTCCTGTCCGCAATGTATTGATTTTGACATTTTCACTTTTGAAGCATGTAGAATACATAACTTAGCAATGCACTGGCTTAGTAACCTCAGATTTGGCAGGGAGGTTGTCCTTGAGCTCTAAATGGCCACTGTTGATTCTGACAAAGTGGTATGCGGGGGTATTCCCGCCATGATTGTGGCAGTTCTAGTTAGGTATTAAAACAGAATGAAATTATTTTTATGAAACGGGTCAGCATTAGACTAAATTAAAATATGTTCTTGTTTTCAGGTTTTGTACACACTGCCTGGTCAGCCAAATTCTACAGGTACGAAATATCAAAACATTAACACTGTTTATATATAAACTTGTTTTTCTGTATTTATGTTAAAAAATGAAATTTTGATTAAATGAAAATAGGCATATTTAATTAACTAAATTGGATTTTATAACTTAAAAGTATTAAAAATGTAATGTTTATTTGGAAACTTTTAAGTTGGGGTAACAATTCCGGATTGAACAAGTGTTGATTTTCTCAGACATTATTTCTTACTTACTGCACAACATTATGATAGATATTTGAGCCGAGTCACAACAAAACCAACGTAATGCGTTTGCGACCAGCATGGATCCAGATAAGCCTGCGCATCCGTACAGTCTGATCAGGATCCATGCTGTTCGCTATTAGTTTCTCTACTTGTAATAGAGTTGGTCAGCGAACAGCATGGATCCTGATCAGACTGTTTGGATGTGCAGGCTGGTCTGGATCCATACTGGTCACAAACGCACTATGTTGGTTTTGTCATGACACGGCTCATATATGTAATATATTTTTCAGCATTTGAGATGGCTAAAGAGGCTCATCAGAGGATACAGATGGTATGTACAATAAATAACTTTATAAATCATTAAAATGTCTTCGAGAATGTAATAAACAACACTGATGTTTACCTGACAAAAATTAAAAATAAATAATTTCACCTTGATTATCATAAATAAAAGAAGATAGATGCCATGTTTAAACTTGGTTTACTGAAAATTTACTGTTGTACAGACTTGTACTTTTAATCGGTATTTTATTGTAAAGAATGTAGGTGGAAGGACATGAATATATTTGAAATTTTGACATAATATTTTGTTTTGATTAATATGATCATGTTAAATGTATTATTGAATATTGGACAAAAAAAAATAGCATCTCTGATTATTTCAATTATCTGTGCTTTAAATTGATCATTTCAGGAATATCTGCTGCAAAATGGTGGAGACAGTAAGATATTTTCTTTCTTATTATTTATTTAAATATGTCAGAAATGAATGTTACATACATTTCAAATCTGCCATTGTGGAGGACTTAGTTTAAACTAAATGACAGGTATTTTGTTATATTTTCCCAATTTTCCAAGATTCCCCTTTAAGTTGAAATATTCATTTACAAGGTGTCCAAATATCTGGAAAAAAGTGATCCTCATAAGCATTAAAAACAGCAAAATGACATAAAAATTACAGACACGGTTTGATTGTGTCTGTACAAAGTAATACAAATTGTCATCAGAATAACTATTTTGTTATCACATTGTAACATGTTGGATAATGTTTGTCAGTTTCATTATTTTAACATTAATATTTGTTTTCTATTTTTGCAGAAACTAAGAATTTCATGCCTGGCTCTGAGGAAGCTGTAAGTATAGTATATATAATAAAATGATGTCAACGTAGCTAATAGTTATATACCTCAGTCATTATTTTAACATGTTTAACACACAGAACAAAAGTCCTAGATATAATATTATAGTTTATGTGACAGATAGCCCCTTACATAATATGATAATTTAGATTAAAAGGAAGTCAAGCCTTTAAAACGTAAGATTTGAATTTCTCATATAGAACAACTGGGGCACTTAAAACAGAAAGATATGCAAAAGATATTTAAGAAATATACTCAGAACTAAATTGACATTTTATTTTTATATGCTATTTTAGCACCATTTGAGTAAAAAGAGTTGCAACTCTTTTCAAATTTGTCGCAATTAGAATAATCATTCAGAAAAAAACAGAGTGAGTGAACGATCTGAAATATTGCACACATGTTATTGGGCTAGACCTACATCAAAAAGAACATTAAAAATAGAACTGAAAATTATTTCCAGTCCCGTCATGTCAAAAAACCTCAAGGGAGTCCTTTTAAAAAAGAGAAATATATTATCAATATCCTGTGCAGTTTTTCCCACTCCATAAAAATGTTATGAAAATATTTTGGCAGGCACATGCATATACTTTAAGTGACATCATATGTGTTTAATAAATACAGGGACACTTGATGTTAGTATAACTGTATAAATGTTTCAATAAAAAACAACTTTTTTTTTTACTGTAAATTGGTCTTATTTTGGGTATATGATTGTTGATAAAATATTATATTTGCATAGTTTCATTGCTAAATTGATTAAACTTGTTGAGTAAAATAATTTATTTTATGCTTTTCAGTGGATTACTGATTTATCCGTGAAAATTATATTTGGTAATTTCACAGTGAAAATTATCAAAATATAATTTCACTTTTTTCAATGACGAAACTACTTTTTTAAGATTTTCCCCATGTGGTACCTCAATTTTATTTTTGCTGACAATTCTGACAATGTCAGGCTGTTTAAAGAAAAAGGAAAGCTGAAATTGATAAATACCTTAAACGTCAAAAGTAATAAAAAGAAGAAAACTTACTTCTATTCATTCAAATTCCAATCACCAAATTTCGTCTCTAAATTTTTTGTTTCATTTTTACAGTCTGAAAAATACATTCCTTCCACATGCAAACTGCTCTTGATGACATTTGGGCATATTAAAGTATCCTACGAGTAATAACTGCCGTATGCTTTATGAAAAATTGAAAAGCAATGACAGCTACAGCTCGTAGAACAAGTAAACCAACCCAGCATTCCGAGCAAGTTCCAAGTCTTCCATTTTCATAGCTGCTTTTTTCATGTTTTCACATCTGTCAACACTTAATTTTTGTCTGTTTCAATCCTCAAATATGTTTTCTTTCTTTTAAAAAGGTGTATGACTAACAATTCCAAATGATATCCCTCTGAATCAAACACAAATTATTTTCCTCCGTGAAATACACAACTTTAAAAAAATGGCTGCCGCTTACATTTAACAAAGCCAGGTCTAATATAAATTCGCAGTAGGTAACAGAAATATGGATGGATGGTTGGAATTTTCTCCTACACGAATTGTTTGTTTTTATTATTAAAACAAGCGATCATTCATATTTTTTAAACAAAATAAATAATATCACTGTCATTTAATGTTGATTGTCGGACTTATTTTTCAGCTCAAGACTTCTTGTTTTTAATGAGAAATTCGCACAAAATGGGGCTCGCAATGGGGAAACAGATTTTAATATTTATGTTAATATTATGGAAATTTCGTTTAAACTTGTTTTTTAGCATAAAATAAAAAGAAAATTTGTTTGTTTGTTGTGTAAGATGTAATTTTATTTCATCTCGTGAACTTTAAAAACAGTATTCTCACTCGTGGCTACGCCACTCGTGAGAAAACTGGTTTTAAAGCCCACTCGATGAAATAAAATTTCATCTTACACACAAACAAACAAATATCCTCTATATAATGCCATCGTATTTTTTATTTTTTTTTATTTTTTAATTCAATTTGTTCAAAGTTAGTATGGAACTTACACTCTTTCAGTATCCTCTTAATTTCTAACTTTAGTGAAAGTTTTATTATTTTCTTTTACAATTTTTTATGTTATATAACAAAATTAAGTTGATTTTATTTTATATGATACATACCCTCAGAATTAATGTACATGTATAAAGATTTACACATACAAGAATTAACTTTGAGCTAAATCATCATAATAACCTTATTCAAATTCTGATATTATGTCAAGTGTCAAATTAATTTATCAACATTTTTTGTCCAATCACATTGCAGTATTTTTCAAATTTCTGCTTAATCTTACTTTGGTTAATGTGTACTAACTAAATTAGATTTACTTAAATCAGTCGTCAGGCTAACTATAAGCAATGGAGAAATGCTTTGTTTTTGGTTGAAAAATAATGTTGATCATTAAGTAAGTCAATGTTTAATAATTCGCATTAACAAAATAATAGGGCTTGTGCCTGCAGCCTGCTTGAGCAATTTATTTGTGTTAATACGTATTATGAAACACTAACCTAATCATAATGTGTCCATGTTCAAGAGATTTCAAACATTTTATTTTTTCCTTGAAAACCTATTTTAATAGAGTGTAGGACTAAAACCATTTCAGCTAATAACCCAAATTTGTTTTCTACTTAAAAAAACATTATTGAATGGCATGTGTCCTTCTCAGTTTTGTATGGGAGACTTTTTACTGGGATGACAATATACTGATATTATTGCTTATTCACAAAATGAATTTTGTAACAAATTTTTTCTAAAACTAACATTTTGTTTAATATAACAATGACCAGTTTTAGATATGTTGTTTAGAAAACAGGAAAAGTGGTGAGCTCAATTTTTGTAGTGTGATAATTAGTGTGTTTTTTTTTCACTTTTAAATTTTACACAGTTTAATCTTGGGGATCAGGTAAAAACACTCACATTCTTGTTTGATTATAGATTATTAACAAAGGGTAATTGGCTGTCCATATTTACTGTTAACTGACAAAATAGTTATGCTAAGCAAAGTTTTGATATTGGCACTGCACTCACTCTTCAGCTTTTAGGTTCTATATTTCTTGAGATTTACTGTAAGCTAAAGGTTCAATTTTGTGTTGTTTATTTTTAGCTCACCTGACCACGAAGGTCAAGGTGAAGTAAAGTAATGGGGCTATGTCTGGCGTTCGTTGTTGTGGGTCATGCTTTGTCAACAATTGGGTTGTTAACACTCTAGCAGTCACAGTTTTGATTGAATCATAATCAAACTTTTGCAGAATGTTTGTCTTAATAAAGTGCAGGTCAAGGTTGAATATGGTACATCTCGGGTCAAAAACTAGGTCACAGGAGCTAAAAATAGAAAAAGCTTGTTAATACTCTTGATGCTGCAGTTTTGATTCAAATGTCTTGGAAATTGATCAGAATGATTTGCTTTGATGATTTCTAGGTCAAGTTTGGATATGGGTCATCTCAGGTCAAAAACTAGGTCAAAGGAGCTAAAAATAGTAAAGCTTGTTAACACTCTAGTGGCAGCAGTTTTAATCCAAATATCCTGGAAATTAGTCAGGAAGGTTTTTTTGATGATTTCTAGGTCAAGTTTGAATATGCATCATCACAGTTTTGATTGAATCATAATCAAACTTTGTCAGAATGTTTGTCTTAATAAAGTGCTGGTCAAGTTTGAATATGGTACATCTCGGGTCAAAAACTAGGTCACAGGAGCTGAAAATAGAAAAATCTTGTTAACACTCTAGTGGCTACTGTTGTTATCCAAATATCCTGGAAATTTGTCTACAAGTTTGTCTAATTCAAATATGGGTCACCTGGGTTCAAAAACTAGGCCAAATATGGATAAACCATGTAAACACTCTAGTGGTCACATTTTTGACTCATTTGTCATTAAACTTGGTCGGAATGCTTGTCTAAGACATTGCTCGGATGAGGACGATGGGTCAGGGGAACGATCTTGGGCCATCTTGGCCCTCTTGTTTAGATAAATTTGTCTTTGGTTATAGACTAAGTTATAACACAGCTTGTATGATTAAGTTAAAATGATCATAAAATTCTCCGGTTGAGTTACTCTCTGACAACAGCTATTACTGGTATATTATATGTAAAAAATCTATGAGTTTTTGTAGACACTATTTTTTATCAAGTTGTAAATTCTTTAAATACTAAAAAAAGCTCTTATAAAAGCTTTTATATATACAATACAAAGTAAGCTTTTTTAATATTTATCAAAATAATTGCTTGAAAGATTTTACTTACATTGGAAAATATGGTGTGTAATAAAATATTGTGAATAACTCAGAAATCCATCTACATGAATTTCCAAATACTCCTGACAACCTAAATTTTTTCTGTTTAGAATTTCATGTATTTAATGTCAGATAGGGTGCTCTGATTTAGCTCATATAGAAATATATAGATACTTTATGACACTTCCTGATGTAATGTTAGTAGTACATGTGTGATATAGTGCAAGCATAGATACACATGAATGTTGTTGGTGTTTTTGTTACACATATAAAGAGAAAATTAAACATACATAAAGCATGTAGTTATTATGTTGTGAACATTTTTAGATGACTTGTTAGCAATTATTGAAGTGTAGTTTGCCACATTCTTCTCTTAAGAAAATTTAATATAGTTAAGACCTTTTTTGTTAATACATGCTCTTTCAGGTTGATATTCAGTTTTTTATGCCACTGCAGCATCTGCGATGCGGTGGCATATAGTGATTCTCCTGTGTGTGTGTTTGTGTGTGTTAGTTTTATAGATTATATAGTGTACTTAAAAAATCTTCTTGTGAAAAACCACTTGTCCAATTTCAACCAAACTTGGCAGGATTGATCCTTGGGTGAAGGGCTTCCAAAGTTGTTCAAAGAATTTCATTCCATGCAGAAATCTTGTTGCCATGGCAACCAAAAGGAATAAAAAGAATAAATTTAAAAAATCTTATTGTAAAGACCCAAAAGGCCTAGAGCTTAGATATTTTGCATAAGGCATTGTCTGGTAGACTTCTACCAAGATTGTTCAAATTATAGCCCTGGGGTCAAAATCGGCCCTGCCCTTGGGGTTATTGGTTTTCCTGATATGTATATAGTAAAAACTAAAAGTAAAAACTTTAAAAAAAATTCTTCTAGCAATTGACAAATGCTAGAGGTTAGATATTTTGCATGAAACATTGTGTAGTGAACCTCTAGCAAGACTGTTCAAATTATAGCCCTGGGGTCAAAATTGTCCCCGTCCCGGTGATCATTGATTTTCAATATATACATATAGTAAAATATCAAAAAATCTTATTGTCTGAAGGAACAAGGCTTAGAGCTTTAATATTTGTTTAATGATATCATCTATAGGTACTCTACCAAAGTTGTTCAAATTTTGCCTCTAGTGTCAAAATTAGCCCCGCCCCGGGGGCCATAGGTTTTCCTTATATGTATATAGTAAAAACTTAAAAAATCGTCTTCTCTAAATTTACAAAGGCTAGAGTTAAGATATTTTGCATGAAACATTGTGTAGTGAACCTCTAGCAAGATTGTACAAATTATAGCCCTTTGGTCAAAATTGGCCCCACCCCCAGGGGTCATTGATTTTCACTATGTACATATAGTAAAAAATTAAAAAATCTTCTTGTCTGAAGGAACAATGCTTAGAGCTTTGATATTTGGTACAAAATATCATCTATGGGTCCTCTACTAAAGTTGTTTTGATTATGCCCCTAGTGTTAAAATTGCCCTGCCCCAGAGGCGATAGTTTTCCTTATATGTATAAAGTAAAAACTTGAAAAATCTTCTTCTCTGAATTGACAAAGGCTAGATTTTAAATATATGGCATAAGACTTTGCAAAGTGAACCTCTACTAAGATTGTTCAAATTATAGCCCTAGGGTCAAAATTGGTTCCGCCCCGGGGAGTCATTGATTTTCATTATGTACATATAGTAAAAAAAATAAAAAATATTTTTGTTTGAAGGTACAAGGCATAGAGCTTTGATGTTTGCTATTTAATATCATCTATAGGTCCTCTACCAAACTTGTTCAAATTTTTCCCCTGGTGTCCAAATTGGCCCTGCCTGGGGGCATTGATTCTCATTATGTACACATAGTAAAAACAGAAAATAAAACAAATGTTTTCTGAATGGGAGAAAGCTACAGCTTAGATATTTGACTTGAAATGTTGTTTGGTGGACCTGTATCAAAATTGTTTTGAATTAAACCCTTGGGTCAAAATTTTGCCTTGCCCAAGGGGACAGTGACCTGCTTTCTTGTCCTTGACCATGTGCACAGTTTAAGTTGTAAAATTGAACTTTGATATCAGGTGACCTAGATTTTGATGATGCGACCTACTTTCTTGTCCTTTGATGTACAGCTATGAAATTTGAACCATGTGCACAGATTAAGGTGTAAAGTGAACTTAATCAGCTGACCTAGATTTTGACAAAGTGTCTTACTGTGTTTTCCTTTGATGTAGTCATGAAATTTAGGCTGTGTGAAACATGACCTTCACCACCAAATTCACTAGACTCAAGTGCATTGATATATTCCTACTCTGATCTTTTATTGGATTAACAATAGATTTATCCACTAATCTGATAATAAAAATTAGATAGGTCAGGGATCTATGCGTTATGACAATCTTCAATTGTATAGAAACAAAAAAAATCTGTTTCTACACTACTATTTAGTGTTGTATTAATGCGGTGTTATAGCATTTTTCTCAAAGCAATCTTGTTTTACATTAAAATCTGGAAGAAAACCTGAAATTCTAAAATATTTCAACATAAATTGTCATAAAGATAACTTTGTTGAAATTATCTTATTTGATTGGAAAACATAACAGGGAGAGGAAGTAAAGTTTTCATTGTGTGTATATATTCTATAAATAAACTTCATATAATATTATATATAGTCATATCAGAAATGATGGCCAGGAATTACATTTATATCTTACTAATACTTTATTAATGTCCCTTTTATCAAGTGCTTGCTTATAATGCACATTTTGGAAACATAGCTACCAGCCGAGTATATTCTCAGTAGAATTATATGATGATAGTTTTCTCTGAAAAAGCATTCTAATAATTAGTTTATTACTTACAAAAAGAATTCAAGTGCATAAATAATAAAAAAGATTAATATTAATGAAGTGCATGAGGGATTTTGCTATTTACACACTCTACGTTTACACTACTGGTGTGAGCAATAAAAGGTCTTCATAGCCCTCTTGTTTCTTTATAAGGATGGTGGCATATAAGAATCTTACACCGGCTGCAGGTACAGACCGGAATATCTAGCTCGAGGGTAACTGTTTACAGCGGTAACGAGGCTCTGCCGAGTTTCCGCTAAACAGTTACCCGAGAGCTAGATATTCACGTCTGTACCAACAGACGGTGTTTGATTCTTTTCTTGCATATTACATGTCAATTATTTTCGGAACAGAAATTATGAAAACTGATATTCTCATTACGCACTTTTTTCTCATAGTAGCGTATGAACATACAACTTCATTCATAACGGAAAAATGACGTCATCCTAAGAACGCGATTCATTCATAAAAGGCGTCATTTAACGCACGCGACTTGTCTTACATGGGGGGTGTAAGACAGAGATTTCTAGCACCGGTGTAAACGGTAGATAATCCTGTCTGAGATGCAAGAATGATGGTGGCATATTAGGAATTTACATTGTTTTACTTGGACACAATTATTTGTTGTTGTAGGCTTTAATATCACTGACTTCAGGGCCACATTTATAGGGCAGATTTATAACACTTGGTATTGGTGGCAGAGGGATGGTAACAAAAATTATTATAAAACGTATTTATTTTTTATACCCCCGCACAACAAAGTTGTAAGGGGGGTATACTGGAATCAGCTTGTCCGTCCGTCCGGCCGTCCAGCTGTCCTTTGGTTTTTTCTTGTCCCCCCAATAACTTAAGATTCCTTTGACCCTTACTCTTCATATTTGGCATGGAGGTTAGTCATGATTGGTAGATGACCCCTATTGATTTTGAGGTCACTAGGTCAAAGGTCAAGGTCACAGGGGCCTTGACTTCAAAAAGCTTGTCCGCCCAATAACGTAAAATTCCTTTGACCTACAGTCGTCATATTTGGCATGGAGGTTAGTCATGATAAGTAAATGACCCCTATTGATTTTGAGGTCACTAGGTCATAGGTCAAGGTCACAGGTGCCTTGACTTCAAAAAGCTTGTCCGCCCTATAACTTAAGATTCCTTTGACCCACAGTCTTCATATTTGGCATGGAGGCAAGTCATGATTAGTAGATGACCCCTATTGACTTTGAGGTCACCAGGTCAAAGGTCAAGGTCACAGGGGCCTTGACTTCAAAAAGCTTATCCGCCCAATAACTTAAGATTCCTTTGACCCACAGTCTTCATATTTGGCATGGATGTTGATCATGATTAGTAGATGACCCCTTTTGACTTTGAAGTCAACAGGTCAAAGGTCAAGGTCACAGGGGCCTTGACTTCAAAAAGCTTGTCCGCCCTATAACTTAAGATTCCTTTAACCCACAGTCTTCATATTTGGCATGGAGGCTAGTCATGATAAGTAGATGACCTGTATTGACTTTGAGGTCACCGGGTCAAAGGTCAAGGTCACAGGGGCCTTGACTTCAAAAAGCTTGTCGGCCCAATAACTTAAGATTCCTTTGACCCACAGTCTTCATATTTGGCATGGAGGTTAGTCATGATTAGAAGATGACCCCTTTTGACTTTGAGGTCAACAGGTCAAAGGTCAAGGTCACAGGGCCTTGACTTCAAAAAGCTTGTCCGCCCTATAACTTAAGATTCCTTTGACCCACAGTCTTCATATTTGGCATGGAGGTTAGTCATGATTAGTAGATGACCCCTATCGATTTGAGGTCACCAGGTCAAAGGTCAAGGTCACAGGGACTTTATCTTCAAAAAGTTTGTCTGCCCAATAACTTTAGATTCCTTTGACCCACAGTCTTCATATTTGGCATGGATGTTGATCATGATTAGTAGATGACCCCTTTTGATTTTGAGGTCACTGGATCAAAGGTCAAGGTCATAGGGACTTTGACTTCAAAAAGTTTGTCCACCCATTAACTTAAGATTCCTTTGACCCACAGTCTTCATATTTGGCATGGATGTTGATCATGACTATAAGGTGACCCCTATTGATTTTGAGGTCACTAGGTCAAAGGTCAAGATCACAGGGACCTTGACGAAAAAAAAGCTTTTCTTCTTAATTGCTAAAGAATGTCCTGTCCGCAATGTATTGATTTTGACATTTTCACATTTGAAGCATGTAGAATACATAACTTAGCAATGCACTGGCTTAGCAACCTCAGATTTGGCAGGGAGGTTGTCCATGAGCTCTAAATGGCCACTGTTGATTCTGACAAAGTGGTATGCGGGGGTATTCACGCCATGATAGTGGCAGTTCTAGTTTACTTAAATTTAGAATAAGTGACATTTTTACTACACTTTTGTATACACATGTATGTTTTAAGAACCTTCAGTCTCACTGCTTTTGTATGTTTAATCTTATTAAAATGCAATAAATCATTTACTTTGTTTTTTCAGTCATTGGTTGCAAAACTAAGATCTGAAGTGCAGTATCAGGGTTACCTACATAAGACAGGATCAAATATGAAAGGTAAATTTATCCTGACACACCAGTTGTCATTTGAGCTGCGTCATGACAAAACCAACATAGTGCGTTTGCGACCAGCATGGATCCAGACCAGCCTGCGCATCTGCACAGTCTGATTAGGATCCATGCTGTTTGCTTACAAACTCTATAACAAGTATAGAAACTGATAGCGAACAGCATGGATCCTGATCAGACTGCGCGGATGCGCAGGCTGGTCGGGATCCATGCTTGTTGCAAACCCATTATGACGGTTTTGTCATGACACGGCTCAAATGTAAACTTGAAAAGTATAAAACCAGGTTGGTCATCCCATCCATGCAGTCTGACTGGACTTTATACTGTAATCTGCTCAGTTGTCATGTTCCTAAAACTAACAGTAGATGGTGCAAGATCTATAGCTGATAGGGTCTACCTAGTAAAGTAGGGGTACAAGGGTTGTAGCACAGAAACTGAAGTTTAAAACAACAACAAAAAATGTTTCAATTAAAACAAAATCACCCCTTTGTTTTTTGGGTTTTTAAATATAGACAGGGGTTATTTTATTTGGTTGAAATATTTGTTGTTTTTTTTCCTATTTTAAACTTTAGTTTCCTGTGGTTGTAGTGTGTTTAGAAATATATATATACAATGTATTTTTTGCTGTATATAACATATATCCAAGTTTAATACCTACAAATAGATAGAGATCAAAATAAATACTGGTCAACTAATGTTGCTTAAATTTTCATTTCATTTAATGCTAGATAGTTTTAGAAGAGTGGTACTATCCTACTTACCTCTGCGTTGTCATTGACACAACACTTTGGTTTAAGTTAGTCCTGCAACTTCTTGTACAACCTCATATTCTGCCAACCATTTAAGATCTTGTTTGTAACTTCACACATAGCTTTGAAAGTTTAATTGGAGGTAACTTGCCAAAGCTTATAACTCTAGCTTGTATTTCCAGTGCCTTATGGCTTTCTGTGAACTTACAAATTCGTAGTTGAAATTTTGCAAAACTTTTGAAGATATTCACTTGAAACTTGCATGTCTTCCGGATTATAGTAAAATGTGAATTTCAAAGATCCATAATTCTGACATGGATTTTGCCAGAACTAATTCCCTTTTGTGATTTTAGAAAATTCCCATTTAAAGTTTTGTGTGCAAAACTATTGAAGGTGTTCACTTGATAACATAGCATATCTTAACTGAAAGTTTTTGTCCAAAACCAATAACTTTGGCATGGATTTAAAATGATTTATGACCCTTTGTGAACTTATTAATTCCCAGTTCTCCATGCAAGATTTATCTTCAAAACTACTGATTGTAATCAGTTGAAACTTTATACATTTGTAAGGTCAGAGGTCTCTTTCAAAGGTCCATAATTATAGCTTAAATTTAGATTTATTAATGAACTAAACAATCCTTGTTAAGTTTTTTTAAAATCCTAATAAAAGCTGTTGAAGTTTTTCATGCTAGAGCATTTTTCACAACTTCTGAAGAAATTCACTTGAAGCTTCTCTCATATCTCTTGGATCATAATTTAAGGTTACTTTCCAAGACCTATAACTCAGGCATGGGTTTTCACTTGACTGAATTACTCCCCTTTGTGAATTTTTTGATGGTATGTACTTGAAGCTTCTTACATGCCTTTGGGATCCTTGGTCTATTTCCAACACTCCTAACTATGCCATTTATTTTGAATGAAAACTTCCTCTTTGCTAATTCCTACATTATCCATGCTCTCAGAGTAGTGGAGAGCATTTTCCAACTCACAACAGCTCTTGTTGTAATTTATATGAATTAAATAGTTGTAATTTATATGAATTTATAAATAATTATTTTATTGATATATATATATTTTTGAAATGATATTCAGATAATCTACTTGGTGCAGTAATGCATAATTATCATGGGGATGGTAAGTTTCTTGTGCTTCGTCCCTCAGCTTGGGATGTTTGTCATGGTTTTATTTTCATCATTTTGTTATTGTTACAAGCGGGTTTGGATGCTTTGACATGGCTTCTCTCCTTTTCATTATCCAACATTTCACTTGCTTTAATAATTATTTTCGTTTTAAGAAACAAATGGATTAAAGGTAACAACATTAACATCTGAAATGAGCTAACATTGATTTATAATTTATTATTTTATTCAACCAAGTTTGTGTTATATATACGAAATAGATATCAATTTTGGAGTGCATTGTTGTAGAATAATGCATGGTTTGGGTTCAAATGAGTTGGAATATAAGTACGAAGGGCGATAGGCCAGAGTGATAATTACATAGCATTTGAACAATAAACCATGCATTTAACACTATAATGCCTGAAAAATTAATGTCTATTTTCATTCTAACATGCTTATAAGAAAGAGAATTGATAAAAATATGTTGAACTACATTGAGCGTAGAAGTAGTTTTACAGAGATGTTACAGTAAGATAGGATTTACTCTTGATTCATTGTAAATAAACTCTGTAATCTAGAGAAAGTTTTGCAATAAATCTATTGTTTGAGCAGCTGTTTAAAGAGTTGTTCTTTAAACAAAAGAACTGTCATTAGATAACATAATTAATATGTCCAGTATTTTCTATTACCTGTTATAGTCAATTAGTCAGTGATTGTCAGTTTGTTCCTTTTTACTGTAAAATCATTATTATTCGTGGGGCACGAATTTTCGTGGTTGTCGTGGGAAGGTCAATCCACGAATTTAAAATCCCACGAACTTTTATCCCAACAAATACTTCTTACTCAGTCTTTGTTCTATATATTACAAACATGCGTGGGCTCTTTTCCGGCCGATATTTTGTGAAATGGATGTATATACAGACAGATAATCAGGTTAGCGACTTATTAAATCCGTTTACAATATTTAAGAAACTTGAAAGAAAACTCGATTATATCATATAATATGTCCTCAATTTACTGTCACAAATGTCGCATATACGTACTTGATTGTTGTAGTCTACTAGCAACAAGAATACTTGACATAATCGAGTAAATATGGGAACCCAGGCAGTGCAATAATTAGCGCTAATAAAAATTGTCAGTTTCCTCTTATTTATTAAAAAAAGGTCTTTGATATAAATGTCGTAAGTACACAAAACTATAAAAAAAATATGATCGCTACAACAGATTTATTGTACATTCTTTTGTCGTTTTAAATGATCCAGTTTATATGAATTTTAATCTATATTTGTGCGAACACTATTCCGTCAACATTAAAGACGCCACCGACTTTAACAAGATCCACACATACTCGTGTTATTTACCGAGATTAATTTATATGCATGTAAATTCACACAGTCACTGTGACGTTGTGTGTAGTTACTGTCAAATATGTTAAGACCAATTCAGGGTGTAAACTTTTAAACTCGCTGGTTAAAACCTGTCAGGTGGCTTAAAATTATGCGATGTTTACATTGGCGAATTACAGGGGCAGTGTGTATATCATGTCACATACATGTGTTAATTGCAGTCAATTATCGGCAGTAACTGTGCTATATTAGTTATGCCCAGAGGCAAGGATTAAATTTATTGACAAGCGCTGTGTGACAAGTAAAGATATGTACATGTTGTAAGTAAAAGTGTTGGGCGATTAAGTTTAAGATTATTTTGCATTAGGTTACGGAATTTTTTTTTAACAAGAAAACGAAAATCCACGAATTTAAGAACCCACGAAAATGCCCTTTTTGATAAAACCACGAAATTTCATGCCCACGAATTTAAGTGAATTCGCAGTATATGCATGAAAGAATTTCGGACATATTATATCATAACCCCTGGTGTCCGTCCGTCTGTAAGCAATTTGGTGTCTGGAGCATAACTTAAGTTCCATTTGACCCACAATATTCAAACTTCATAGAATGATTGTCCATATTGGGAAAGTCAAGGTCACTATTACCTTAAAACTGAAAATAGTTTACGGAGCATAACTTAAGTTCTATTTGGCCCACAGTGTTCAAACTTCATAGGATGATTGTCTATATTGGGTAGAAGACCCCTATTGATTTTGGGGTCACAAGGTCAAAGGTCAAGGTCACTATTACCCTAAAACTGAAAACAGTTTCCAGAGCATAACTTAAGTTCCATTTGGCCCACGGTGTTCAAACTTCATAGGATGATTGTCAATATTTGGTAGAAAACCCCTTTTGATTTTGGGACCACAAGGTCAAAAGTCAAGGTCTTTATTACCTTAAAACAGAAAACAGTTTCCGGAACATAACTGAAGTTCTATTTGGCCCACAGTGCTCAAACTTCATAGGATGATTGTTCATATTGGGTAGAAGACCCCTATTGATTTTGGGGTCACAAGGTCAAAGGTCAAGGTCACTATTACCCTAAAACTGAAAACAGTTTCCAGAGCATAACTTAAGTTCCATTTGGCCCACGGTGTTCAAACTTCATAGGATGATTGTCAATATTTGGTAGAAAACCCCTTTTGATTTTGGGACCACAAGGTCAAAAGTCAAGGTCTTTATTACCTTAAAACAGAAAACAGTTTCCAGAACATAACTGAAGTTCTATTTGGCCCACAGTGCTCAAACTTCATAGGATGATTGTCCATATTTGGTAGAAGACCCCTATTGTTTTTTGTGTCACAATGTCAAAGGTCAAGGTCACTATTACCTTAAAACTTAAAACAGTTTCCGGAACATAACTTAAGTTCCATTTGGCCCACAGTGTTCAAACTTTATAGGATGATTGTCCATATTGGGAAGAACACCCCTATTGATTTTGGGGTCACAAGGTCAAAGGTCAAGGTCACTTTTACCTTAAAACTGAAGACACTTTCTGGAGCATAACTCAAGTTCCATTTGGCCCACAATATTCAAACTTCATAGGAGGATTGCTATTTGAAGGAGGTAATACTTTATGTAATTCCCATGTCTTACAAATGCTTCATCCGTACCAAAAAAAATAAAACTTTCGGTCATATAATGCTTGTTTGTTATTTTAAAATCATTAGCTAACACACAGTTACTTCTGGAAAACGCTTCTCTGCGGCAGAAAGGGTGGGGGAGGGGTAGGTAGTGTGCATATTTAAGGCTTTGTAAATCAAATGATGAAAAGAAAAAGTACACATCTATCGTAATTGAAAAAGTTTTCCATTTTTGGTTAGTTTTACCAGTATGGTATATATAATTGGAAAATTTATAAGTAATTTAACATTAAATACATTTACACTAGAGTGATACAACTGAACTTTAATTGACTTCTTACAAATAAAATACTTACATATTTAAGTTTTACAGCGCCAGTGTCCTTTATTTACTTTAGAATGGCAAAGATTGGCGATGTTAGTTTAAAAAGATAGTTTAGTTTGTTCACAGTTTTACTGAATCAAGATGTTTTCTTCTAAATATAGTCATATCTTTTTGTTTTTAAATAATCACAATTTTCTCTTTTTTTCTGTCTTGATATATAACCATGGCATGAACTTGGAACTTATTACGTCTCTCAAACACTAGTGGCAACATTGTCAAGTCTGCACCACAAGATTAGAGCTAGCATTTTATGCTGTTAGCTGCTTTATATTAGCATTATTATATGGTATCCATTAAATATACATTGGACAAATTTAATCGTTATATAATTATATTCATTTAATCGATATTGGACTGTTCAAATTTTTTAAAAGAAGTCCAATAAATAGACATTGGACTGTTTGAATTTTTAAAGGAATCCAATAAAAATAGACTTTGGACAGGTCAATTTTTAAAAAAAAAACAATAAAAAGGCATTGGACAGTTCAAATTAAAAAAATCCAATAAATATACATTGGACAGTTCAATTAAAAAAAAAATCATATAAATAGACATTGCACTGTTTAAATTTTTATAAAAAAAACCAATAAATAGACATTGAACTTTTCAAATTTTTATATAGAAATCCATTAAACAGACCTTAAACTGTTCCAATTTTGTAGCATGGCAAGTTCTTCTATTTAATTTAACAAGTTAATGGTTGATATGAGTAAAAATTTTGGAGACAAAGAATTTTAATCAACAAAGCTTTGGTGCTGTTCTCAGTCATATAACTATTGCTCTTGTAAATGGATTGAACTAACCTTTTAATTATTGATTTTCTTTGGTCATCTTTATAAATAAATAAACCAGTTCAAATTAATTACAGAAATAATATTAGAATATAGATATACATGAATCAGTTACATTAGACTTTTTCTTAGCAAGCCTTTGCTGCAATACATTGTTAATATTTTGATGGCACTAAAATTGAATTGACTGTACATAATGAGAAAATTTTAAAGATGGCCTTTTTCTCTTGAAATATTTATTTATCATATATATCAACCCTTCATAAAAATGTTAAATTTAGTATTTTAAAATTTTCCCTGTTACTTATCTTGTATATGATCTTCCCGGGTTTTCTCTCATTGTGAAACAATACTTCTTCTAAAATTTTCATATCCCCCTGGTGTTATTACTTAAAATTTCTTGAAGAATGGTGTTTTTAGCTGGCCAAACCATCCCAGTTATTATGTTAGTGAAGAGGTAAGGACAATTCTTTTGTATGTCAATAATGTAAAAAAATGTCTTTGTAGATATAATATAAAGGACAGTCTGTTTGTTAGACCATTTGCAGTTGATTTGTTGGTGAAAACAAAAGATAATCTCAGAATGTATAACAGTATATTGGGCTACATAAAAGGAACCACACTGAGGTCAATAAGCTTAAAAGTCAAGCGTTGTCCCTGCTTGTTTTACAAATAGAATAATTATTCTGGAAAAACAGAGTGAGCGAATGATCTGAAATTTTGCATGCAAGCTATTGGTGTAGACTTACATCAAATGGACCATTACTCTCAAGAAAATTATTCCCAGTCCCACCATGTTAAAAAAACCTCAGTTGAGTCCCTTTGTTAGTGTTATTATTTGTGTACATAAAAACAAGTTGATAACCAGTAGTTCTTTTGATATTTTAGGGTAAAGTAGAAAGGGCAGGGTAGGTAATTTAATCAATTAAATCCGTATACAAGCCCATAAAACCATGAAAATTAAATTTTCTTTTCGTTTTTTTTTTAGTCCTCCAGGGGCATAATTCATAAAAATGCAAATATAGAAATTTAAAATGCTGTTTGCAGATAATTTAAAAGGAAAAGAAAGTTGCCCCCTTTTTTTTTTTTTAAGAACCCAATCAGCCCAAATTTTTAACTTTGATTTTTTTTTTTCCCTTTTATCCTTTTTCCCCGGAAATTTTTCTCTCTTTATTTTGTGGATATCCCTTTTAAATTTGAATTGTAGATCAAAATTTTTAAAAATTTAAAATTTTAAAATATTTTGAAAAAGAGAAACAATTTTCTTAATAATTGTTTCCCTTTTTTAATTTACTGAGTTTTTAATTAAAAAAAATTTACAGCTAATATATATATATGATATTTTTTTTAACCCATTTCATTCTGAAATGTTAATGCTTTGGATTTAAGTATTAAAATGCTGAATTAGCACAATCAATGGGAAAGAGGGGTCACATTTCACAGGTATACAGGCTACATTGACACCAAAATAGTAACATTAGGCAAGTCAACATTGCTGCTGATACTCAAAAAGAATATACATGTATATTTTGTTATAAGATGAATCATATTTTAATTATTAATAATCTGAACTTCATAGTAAAAATTTCTGTCCCCTTTAAACAGATAACCCCACAGAGCTTTAATAAGCTCCAAAGAAGAACAACGGTATAAATTTTTGCTGCTTCAAGTGAGGAGGATCGTGTAAAATGGATTCATGGCAAGTTTAAGCCCACAGGTAATTATACATCGCTTATAAACCATGTCAAATATCTTCCTTATATTTAGTTATATAAAACTGACCCTTGGTCAATGGTACAAAAAGAGAAGGCTTATGGTTTTTTACATGTCTGTTTAGAAAGAAAGTCGAAGCTATTATGATTGAATGCACCAGCATTGCCGTTACTAATCTTGTTAGCATTTAGTGCAAAAACTTAGCCCATTTCTCAAATTATTTTAAAGGTTATCAAAGCAAAACTTTGGTATACTTGCTTTTATCATTTAAAAGATCATTTTTTTACACAAGGGGGAAAATTCTGAAAGCTATTTTTTGGAGTTATGACCTTTTAATGCCAGAAATAATTTTTTTCCCAAAATTGGGCCCATTTAAGTAAATTAATTTTAAAATTATGAAAGGTATTTACATGAAAATTGGCATGGCAAGGCAAGGCACAGATGTTAGATGTGGGGCATTATTCTGAAAGGTATTTGTTGGAGTTATGTCCCTTTTTAACTTAAAATCTTTGCCAAATCGCTTATTAAGATGAATGATTTCAAAACTGTTTAAGATATACCAACATGAAACTTGGAATACTCGACAATGCACAGTTACAAGACTAGGTGGCATTATCCTTCAAGCATTACTTTTAGGGGTCATGTCTTTCATACTTTGATTGTTAAGTGTAAATATGGATAATTCATGTGTTGTTTCAGGTGTTTTGTCCTGTTGATTTGATGGACCAGATTAAACATACAAAGTTCTCACTAGCTGGTTATGTTCATATAAAGACTGGGATAAACAGGGTAAGTGTTGCTTTAAGTGAGTCATACTTTATGATGACTTATTGATAAGTATTGTGAAATATACATATATATATATTTTTTTAAGTTTCCCCATAAATGATGAATGGTTTTGATCGGATTGAAAGATGGACAAGTCCATTTTTAAATACAGAGATAGATATATTGACATGCAGAAAAAGCTGTTTATTTGTTGTACATGGCCATGAATTAGTTATTGTTCATCACTAGTTGCTACACCAAAAAAATTAATATATTTTCACAATAAATATGCTGTAACATGAAACAACTTCATTTTGAAAGGAATAGTGTCTTATTTTATATAGGGAAAAAATTAACCTTTTACTTGTATTTCTTACATGGACTTGTCCAGTATTAGCCAAAAGTTGCGAGTCTTATCATACTGCATGGATGTGCAGTAGGCCTGTCTCTAAACTAGTGGTAAAGGATAATTACTTGTGGCTCCAGCAACCCAAGGGTTATTATCATATAAAATAATTATGTACACTACACTGAACATACAGAGTTCTACAGAACTACAGAGTTCAGTGTATCAGGATGATTCTTTTGTACATTCCATCATAGTGTCTTTTAAAACTATTTGGAATGAAAGTAAAGATAGGTCAAACATATAAGTATAGTAAATTGTATATGTGTCATTTCAGGATTGGCAAAGAACATGGTTTTTGTTGGAGAATAGGAAATTAATATTCATAGACAAGGTAGGGTGTGTTCACATTGGACATTCTGGAAAATAAATTTAGCTTTTTTATACAGTAATAGATCTGAGATTTTTGAAAAGTCATTATACTAGTTTTTAAGTGTAATTTATTGTGTATAGAATGGTATTGTATGAATTACATTTTATATAACATAGTATTGTCCATTCTATAATGAATTAATTTGATTATTTTTATTTGAAATATGTAATAATTTGTTACATTGTCTTTTTCTCATTCAAGAGGTAGATAATTAAAGTTAAATATGATAGGTTAATTTGATATTTTGTTTTGTCTTTTCCTCCTTCAAAAGGTAGATAACAAAGGTAAACTATGATGTATATTTGATGTTATTGTAGGAGGAAACAGAGAGGGATCAGGATAGCTTAGATCTTAGAAAAGTCAGCAGTATTACCAAAATTACCCAAAGTACGTTTTGTTTTTATGTGTTTTTGTAATATTCTTTGCATCATATAAATATAATGATACTTAAGATTCTGCCCATGCAAGCAGGGCAACAGATTCTGCCCATGCAAGCAGGGCAACAGATCAGACTAAGATCTGCCCGCACATCTGTGCCATTTGGTCATAATCTGCACTGTTCAGTATTCACTTAGTATACATGTATATTTTGAAATTTTCCCTACATATAATGAATGGTTTTGTCCAAATTGAAAAATGGACAAGTTAAAATATTTAGCAGGGCAAGGGTCACCAGTTGATAGCAAGTCAAGTATGCACATATAGGCAGTCTGACCAGGGTTTATAGTGACAACTGTTTAACTTTAATTTCTATCTTGATATCCCTAAGTATCATGTTAGCTTGACAAGTCTGTCCAGGAAATTCAGCAGGTAAAAATAACTAAGAATATAATGTGTAAAAGTCTATTACAGTATTGTATTTAAATGTTTAGAAATCTTAAATATAGCAGAATTTGTACTTGTTTATAACTGAAATATTCACTGGTCTATGTTTCATGTATATTTAGCTCAGACAGGATGTGAGTCATGTTTGGAAAACAGTGGACCACAGTTTGTACTCAAATCAGGGGAGACAATGCTGTATATACAAGGTGATCTCATAAAAGATACAGAGAGAATATTTTCTGCTCTAGAAACTGCAATTAAGGTTAGTCTTTTTATGTACTGATACTTGATTGGGGAAAATTTACGTAGAAATGGTCAGATTGTGTTAATCAGTGGTGTAGTTTTAAAATTTCAATATTCAAGAAAAATATAATTCTGAAAGACTGGAATGTTATATGGAGTAATTATGCCCCCATTTCGAAGAAAAGGGGGTATATTGCTTTGCACTTGTCGGTCCGTTGGTCCGTAGACCAAATGGTTTCCGAGTGATAACTAAAGAACCCTTAGGCCTAGGAACTTCAAACTTGGTATGGTGATTGGTCATGATCAGTAGATGACCCCTATTGATTTTGGGGTTAAGGGGTCAAAGGTCAAGGTCACATTGACCTTGTAAGCAAAAACAGTTTCCAATCAATAACTTAAGAACCTTAAGGCCTAGGAACTTCAAACTTGGTATGGTGATTGGTCATATTCAGTAGTTGACCCCTATTGATTTTGGGGTCAAGGGGTCAAAGGTCAAGGCCACATTGACCTTGTAAGCAAAAACTGTTTCCGATCAATAACTAAAGAACTTTAAGGCCTAGGAACTTCAAACTTGGTATGGTGATTGATCATGATCAGTAGATGACCCCTATCGATTTTGGGGTCATGGGGTCAAAGGTCAAGGTCACATTGACCTCTTGGGTAAAAACGGTTTCTGATCAATAACAAAAGAACCCTTAGGCCTAGGAACTTCAAACTTGGTATGGTGATTGGTTATAACCAGCAGATGACCGCTATTTATTTTGGGGTTAAGGGGTCAAAGGTCAAGGTCACATTGACCTTGTAGGTAAAAACAGTTTCCGATCAATAACAAAAGAACCCTTAGGCCTAGGGACTTCAAACTTGGTATGGTGATTGGTCATGACCAGCAGATGACCCCTATTGATATTGGGGTTAAGGGGTCAAAGGTCAAGGTCACATTGACCTTGTAGGTAAAAATGCTTTCCAATCAATAACTTAAGAACCCTTAGGCCTAGGAACTTCAAACTTGGTATGGTGATTGGTCATGACCAGCAGATGACCTATTGATTTTGGGTCAAGGGGTCAAAGGTCAAGGTCACATTGACCTTGAAGATAAAAACGGTTTCCGATCAATTAACTAAAAACGCTTAGGCCTAGGAACTTCAAACTTGGTATTATGAATGGTCGTGACCAGCAGATGACCCCTATTGAGTTTTGGGTCAAGGGGTCAAAGGTCAAGGTCACATTGACATTGTAAGTAAAAATGGTTTCTGATAAATAACTAAAGAAGGCTTTGGCCTAGGAACTTCAAACTTGGAATGGTGATTGGTCATGACCAGCAGATGACCCCTATTGATTTTGGGGTCAAATGTCAAGGTCACATTGACCTTGTATGTTAAAACGGTTTCCGATCAATAACTAAAGAACCCTTAGGCCTAGGAACTTCAAACTTGGTATGGTGATTGGTCATGACCAGCAGATGACCTACTGATTTTGGGGTCAAGGGGTCAAAGGTCAAGGTCACATTGACCTTGTAGGTAAAAACGGTTTCCGATCAATTAACTAAAAATGCTTAGGCCTAGGAACTTCAAACTTTGTATGATGATTGGTCGTGACCAGCAGATGACCCCTATTGAGTTTTGGATCAAGGGGTCAAAGGTTAAGGTCATGACCAGTAGATACTTGATAACCCTTATTAATTGTTTGATCACTGGGTCAGAAGTCATGCATAATAACCTTATCACACGACTAATTGGCTGCTGATAGGGGGCATACATGTTTTACAAACATATCTTGTTATATTTGCATTTAGTTGGATGTTAACTGAAGATTACTTGTTATTCCCCCCTTCAAAGAAGTGGCGGTTTATTGCTTTGCATTTGTCTAGTTGGTCGGTCAGTTCGTACACCAAATGGTTTCCGATCAATAACTAAAGAATGCTTAGACCTAAGAACTTCAAACTTGGTATGATGATTGTTCATGACCAGTGGGTCAAGGGGTCAAAGGTCAAGGTCACATAGGTCACAGTGACATTGACCTTGTAGGTAAAAACAGTTTCCAATCAATCACTGAAGAACGCTCAGGCCAAGGCAAGGAACTTCAAACTTGGTATGATGATTGTTCATGACCAGCCTATTGATTTTGGGGTCAAGGGGTCAAAGGTCAAGGTCACATTGACCTTGTAGGTAAAAACGGTTTCCGAACTGAAGTTGCCTTGGTTGATATTTTTATTAAACTAAAATGCTTTCGGTATTCACATTTCAAAGTCTTATATAATATAACAAATTGTCTGTCATTAAGCAGGCCTGATTATGATTCATAAAATTTATGCATATATTATTTGGTAAGATTTGTGATAACTTTGTCATAAAATTGCTGCACACAACCTTTGTAGTGACTAGTCATGACCAGTAGATAACCCCATTAAGTTTTGGTCAATAGGTCAAAAGTCTGTCATTATAACCTGACCACATGACTAATTGGCTGCCAATAGAGGGCATACATTTTTGACAAACATATCTTGTTGTGATAATATTACTGTGTGATGTATAATTAAACCATAGCAACAAAATTCTAAAAAAATTGTCTTCTTCAGAGAAGTGGTGTAGACTCTGTAAGTATGAGGTGTGAGACTACAGTTTTAGCTTGTTACTGACTTGAACAAATATTGTAGAGATTGACTGGGAAATGTTTGCTGGTTTACTAGCATGGAATAATGAAAGAAGTCTTTTAACATAGCCACATTTGATATAATAATGTTCAAAAATATTGGTTTAAGGGTTTATGAAAATGTGTTTCGCACCAGTGTGGAAGTTGTTCTTAATGAGTGTTTTAAACTGGTGTTTTAAAGCTTAGAGTTTTATTCAGGTGTCTACACATAATTATTGTACTGTATAATATTATGATAAAATGTATCATATTTGTGTGGAACAAATGTAAGTGGCACTTAAGGAGGTCTTTTTATGCACCCACACTAGCGGAAGGGGCATTTTGATTTTTTTTCCATATGATTTAGGTTATTTTATTGACCCAGTTATAGTTTTGTATAATTTACTTTACAATAAATATAGATAGTCTAGTTTATTGTATATTAAGGTGTTTCTAAATAACAAAGTATAATTAGATATTCACAAATTTAATGATTTACATTTGAGTGAAAATAACAATTGTAAATAAAAGAAACTTTCAGTTTTAAGAAACTAGCACCTAACTATTATTAACAAGGAAAATAATTTCTTAGTACGATATATGAGCCGTGTCACGACAAAACCAACATAATGTGTTTGCGACCAGCATGGATCCAGACCAGCCTGCGCATCCGCGCAGTCTGATCAGGATCCATGATGTTCGCTTACAGACCCTGTAACAAGTAAAGAAACTGATAGCAAACAGCATGCATTCTGATCAGACTGCGCGGATGCGCAGGCTGGTCTGGATCCATGCTGGTCGCAAACCCATTATGTTGGTTTTGTCGTGACACGGCTCATATGTTTTTAGTAGTTACAGTCCTAGGATTAAACTATATGTAGGATACATATGCATGTAGATTTAGATTTGAAAAGGGTTTGTTTTGTTGTTGTTTTTGAAATGATGTCCTACTTCTTTTTTACTGAGATGCAAATGTCTTATTAGTAAAATTAGTAATGAAAATCCAATAAATGTATTTAGTTACTGTTCAAAGTTTGTCCAATTAATAAAGAAAATTTGAAAAAAGAAGAAGATTCCACTGTGTATTAAACTATACAACTGTGTATTGCAATATACAACTGTGTATTAAACTATACAACTGTGTATTGAAATATACAACTGTGTATTAAAATATACAACTGTGTATTAAAATATACAACTGTGTATTAAAATATACAACCGTGTATTAAAATATACAAATGTATATGACTAGTAATGTATTCATGTCTTTATCATTGGGTCTTTGTTAAATCACAGTGCATAGTGGCACTTGTATGACCAATGGCAGTAAGATAATTTAAAGTCACTGTAAAAGATAGGTACATTAATTTCATTATGATGCAATAACATGGTAATACATGAATATCTTATTTGCTCTGATAAGCTTACAGCTATCTTGTATTATGCAATGAAACAGTAAACCATGTATGAGAATTGAAACCTCTACAATGTGTATTAAGGATAACACATAATAGAGAACTAAATCTCTTATTCTCATTATGGAAGTTGCAACACTTTGATTTAGGTATTAACCAAATTAATGTATATAATACGGGACTTACATTTATTATTACAGAAAGGTGGAGATATCCTTGAAGAGCAAGCTTTGACTAATGATGATGTCCCGATAATAATATCAACATGTATAAACTTTATAGAACAGTATGGTAAGTGTTTTATTCTGTTATATGACAGTATGGTGAGTTATTATTGAAGAACTAGTATTCTCTGGCATATTTTTAGAATGATTGCCCTTTGAAGTATTAAACTTAATTTTATATAGCTTGTATATTAAAATCATAACAGTTTGCTCATAAAATCTATGAGTTATTGCGATCAATTTCTTTCCACACTCTTTTGGTCCAAACTAGAACTTGTTTATGCCAATAGTAAAATAGTGCATTGCACAACAAAAACCTGCACTTTTTTCCCGGCCCCCCCCCCTCACACAATAAACTTTAGAGTTTGTATGTGTTTTATTGTGATATACAACAGTATTGTAAGTTTTATGTTATACATTGTTAGAACATAAGGATTTATGAATGATGTATAGAATCAGTATTTTATTTGTAGGATTGAAAATGGATGGTTTATACAGGAAAGCTGACACAGAGTCCAAAATAAAAACATTGTTGCGTAACTTCCAAGACGGTAATAAATTTTTAGAAGTAATGTTAAAAATTCTTTTATCTCACAAAACTTACATTGGAGGGACCATATCAGATTATCAGATTGGTATTCTTTTAATATTCATTTGAATAAGAAAGCTGATAGAAATTTATAAGATATTCTTTTTGGAGTTGGCAATGACTTAGATGTTGGCATTGTTTTATACAAGTTGAAGGTAGTTATAGTCTATATAAATAACTATGCAATATTTTTCTCAGAAAACCTTTTTTACAAAGTTAAGACTGACAGGAATGTATTGATTAGACTGATTATAAGTTAATGGTTGTGTTATTATTTTAGATGCAAGATCTGTAGTGCTGCGTTTAGAGGAGGAATCTGTGCACCTCGTGTGTAACGTGCTGAAGAGATTCTTACGTAATTTATCTGACCCACTTCTTACTGCTCAACTATATAGAAGATGGATACAGACAGCTGGTAACAGAATGATTTATGCTCATTTAAACTCTTAACCAACAAGAAAAGAAAGTCATTAGCTTTTTCCACCAGTTAAGAGCCAGGCCAGACTGCACATTTGTGCAGTCAAACCAGGTTCTATACTGTTGGTATTTGATATTGAAAATTCTCTTTAACATTGAGTGAACTCCTCCAAATTCATAGAACAGCAAATGCATTAAAATACTTAACAACATAGTGTTGGCTGCTTATCCTTAACACTGTTAAACTTGAAAGCAAACAGTTAATAATTTAAAAATCAAAGCATTGCATGTCAGATACAAAAGCTTTAGTTTATATTTCACTTAATTATACCCCCACCACAAAATATGGTGGGTGCTATAATGGATTCACTTTGTCATGTCAGTCGGTCTGTTGGTTCGTTGGTCGGTTGGTCGGTCGGTCCATCTCCATTTTAGTGTCCGCTCTATAGATCCTATACCAATTGAAGGATTTTCTTCAAACTTGGCTCAAATGTTCACCTCAAAAAGGGGATGTGCAGAACCCATGTTGCCCATGTGTCAGCTCAAGGTCAAAGTCACAATTGAAGGTCATATATCAAACAATCAAATATTAGACAGTATGTCGTGTCCGCTAAGTAAGTCCTACACTAATTGAAAGATTTTCTTCCAACTTGGCTCAAATGTTCACCTCAACAAGGGGATGTGCAGAACCCATTTTGCCCATGTGTCAGGTCAAGGTCAAGGTCACAATTGAGGGTCAAATATCAAACACAATCAAATATTAGACAGTATGTCCTGTCCGCTCTGTCAGTCCTACACTAATTGAAAGATTTTCTTCAAACTTGGCTCAAATGTTCATTTCAACAAGGGGATATGCAGAACTCATGTTGCTTATGTGTCAGCTCAAGGTCAGGTCACAATTGAAGGTCAAATATCTAACAATCAAATATTACACAGTATGTCGTGTTTGCTCTTTAAGTCCTACACTAATGGAAGGATTTTCTTCAAACCTGGCTCAAATGTTTATTTCAACAAGGGGATGTGCAGAACCCATGTTGCCCATGTGTCAATTCAAGGTGAAGGTAGCAATTGAAGGTCAAATATTAAACAATCAAATATTAGAAAGTATGTTGTGTCCGCCCTGTAAGTCTTACACTAATTGAAAGATTTTCTTCAAACTTGGCTCAAATGTTCACCTCAAAAAGGGGATGTGCAGAACCCATGTTGCCCATGTTTCAGCTCAAGGTCAAGGTCACAATTGAAGGTCATATATCAAACAATCAAATATTACACAGTATGTCGTGTCCACTCTGTAAGTCCTTCACTAATTGAAAGATTTTCTTCAATCTTGGCTCAAATGTTCACCTCAACAAGGGGATATGCAGAACCCATGTCACCCTTTTGCCAGCTGAAGGTCAAGGTTACACTTGAAGGTCAAAAATTGACTTAGAAAATATTCTTAAATTTTAACATGTATTTGAATATTTCTGAAACTAGAAAAGGTATTTGCTTGAAACTTAAAATATATATGAGGTGTCACAAATAAGATATGCAGGTCAAGTTTCATAACTCTGTATTGCATTTTGACTAAGTTATGCCTCTTATTAAGTCTTTAAATTTACATACAATCAATACTAGACAATATGTTGTGTCCGCTCTATAAATTCTATACTAATGGAAGGATTTTCTTCAAACTTTACTCACATATTCACCCCAACTTGGCAATGTGCAGAACCCATCTTACCCTTGTGCCAGCTTTTAGAGAATCAAAAGTTATCAGATTTTGTTTTTACTAGGTAGATTTAAAGAAACTCTTTGATTTCTGTAATTGAAATGTTTATTTATTTAAGAATAAAATATATTTTCCAGCTGAGATAGACCACAATGTAAAGTTACAATGGTATAAATATTTACTGCAACAGTTACCTAGAATCAACTACCTCACTCTTAGAACTCTAGCATCTCATCTTAGCAAGTAAGTTTATTATTTCACGGCGTCTCAACGCCGTGATATTGTGATGGGTAGTTTTCGGTAGCATGGGCAAAAGTCACGTGACAAAATGCCTTTCGATTTCTACAGCCGACATTTTATTGTTTTTACGCAATCATTGTACATCCCATTTCCGTGAAAAGTTACATAGAAACAGTTTTTTTTCAAAACCATATAGAATATAAACAGTATTTTTATCAACACACGAAATATCAGCGTTTTATATTAACACATTTCCGGACATCCTTTCGACATGCTTGAGAAATTCGCCTTGAATGGATTATGTATGGTGGCTGATTAACGCCATCCAAATATTTTCGCGTCTTCGCCTCAAAATGCGAAAATGCGAAAACACGAAGGGACGACATATTTTGACTAATGTGTTCTCATGTCGGATCTATGTCTCTCTCGGAGTGAATCTTTTCACGTGTAAAATGTCTTTGAACATTTCATTCCTAAGTTTCTATATTTGCAATTAAGAACTTAAATTGTCTTCTTTTTTTAGCTCACCAGAGCCGAAGGCTCAGGGTGAGCTATTAGTAACAAAGGGGGATACTCCAGCGTCCGTCGTCCGTCGTCATGCGTCAACAATCATCTTCTTCTCTGAAACTGCTGGGCAGATTTAACTAAAATTTGGTCTGTAGCATCCTTGTGATAGTCACACTTAAATTTGCTCATGTCATTTCAATTGGCCCCTTTTAGGGTTCAGCAGAGCTAAAAATAGAAAAACCATTAAACATCTTCTACTACAGAACTTATGGATGGATGATCACCAAACTTTGTCTGTAGCATCCTCAGGTAGTCTTTTATCAAGTTTGCTCATATTAATTTGATTGGCCCCTTTTAGGGGTCACTAGGGCTTAAAATAGTAAACCTTTAGACATTTTCTTCTACAGAACCAATTGATGGATGATCACCAAACTTTGTCTGTAGCATTCTTGGGTAGTCTTTTATCAAGTTTGCTCATATTAATTTGATTGGCCCCTTTTAAGGGCCGCTATAGCTTAAAATAGAAATACCTTTAAATGTCTTCTTCTACAGAACTAATAGATGGATGATCACAAAACTTTGTCAGTACCATTCTTGGGTAGTCTTTTATTAAGTTTGCTCGTATTTATTTGATTGGCCCCTTTTAGGGGTCTCTAGGGCTAAAAATAGAAAAACCTTTAGACATCTTTATCTGCAGAGCTAATGGATGGATGATTACCAAACTTTGTCTGTAGCATTCTTGGGTAGTCTTTTATCAAGTTTGCTTATATTATTTTGATTGGCCCCTTTTAAGGGCCGCTATAGCTTAAAATAGAAATACTTTTAAATGATTTTTCTACAAAACTAATTGATGGATGATCACCAAACTTTGTCTGTAGCATTCTTAAGTAGTCTTTTATCAAGTTTGCTCATATTAATTTGAGTGGCCCCTTGTAGGGGCCGCTAAAGCTAAAAATAGAAATACCTTTAAACATCTGCTTCTACAGAACTAATAGATGAATGATCACTAAACTTTGTCAGTACCATTCTTGGGTAGTCTTTTATTAAGTTTGCTCGTATTTATTTGATTGGCCCCTTTTAGGGGTCTCTAGGGCAAAAAATAGAAAAACCTTTAGACATCTTTATCTGCAGAGCTAATTGATAGATGATCATTAAACTTTGTCAGTAACATTCTTAGGTAGTCTTTAATCAAGTTTGCTCATATTAATTTGATTGGTCCTGTTAAAGCTAAAGATTAAATGCACAAGCATTTCTTTAAATTAAAGTTTAAAGATATTCTAAGCTCTAATTTTAATATATAAAAAAATATTGACAATGGATACACAGTCTCCTTATAAATATAAATATGAAATATACGTATTTTGACTTCACACAAAGTAGATATGTTATGTTTTAAACTCTTAACACTATTCGTGGTCACAGTATATATATAATGATAGTGTCATTACAAAAACTTTTTTTTCTTTTTTTTTTATAGAAAAGACCATCTTTACATTGCCTGTAATAGCATATGCAGTTTCCTGTACATAGTATATTCATTCTTTTATCCAAATAAGACATTTTCAGCAAGAATTTCATAAATTTCATTGGCTTGAGTCATGACCTGTTTATGATGTGTAAATATATTTCAGCTCTGGAATTCGGACTATTGCATCATTGTAAGGTCAGTTGTAGGTCATTAACTAGGAAAAAATAGGCCTAAAGAAACATAAAATTTGTTTCTCCTGTACTTTTCTATCAAAGATGAGTTTAACTGCTCAATTCTATTATTGAATTTTGTAAAAAATTGTAATTTTTTCATTTTTAGCTCGACTTTTTTTTTTTTTTGAAAAAAAAAGTAGAGGTATTGTTATAGTCAGGTCGGCGTTGCCGTTGCCGTTGCCGTTGCCATTGCCGTTGCCGTTGCCGTTGCCGTCCGAAAACTTGTACCTGGATCATAACTTTTTTATTTCTTGGTGTATTGTCTTCATACTTGGCCACAACAACCCTTGGGACAAGACCTTTCAGTAGACCACACTAACCTTGACCTTCATCCATAAATGACCTTGACCTTCAAGGTTAAAAGTCCAATTTTTGCTTGTTCATGCTGTTATTGGCTGTAACTTTGTTATTTTTGAATGGATTGTCTTCAAACTTGAACATAATAATCTTCAAGGATATCCCTTAAAAATAAGCAGTCAGACCTTGACATTCACTCATCAATGACCTTGACATTCACTCATCAATGACCTTGACTTTGAAGGTCAAATTATTGAAATTTTCGTTTTTTTGGCTATTATTGGCTGTAACTTTGTTATTTTTGAATGGATTGTCTTCAAACTTGAACATAATAATCTTCAAAGATAACTGTTAAAAATATACCGAAAGACCTTGACCTTCACTCATTAATGACATTGTCTTTGAAGGTCAAATTATTGAAATTTTCATTGTTTTGGCGGTAACTGACTGTAACTTTGCTATTTTTGAAGGGATAAACTTCATATTATAACAGAACATTCTTAAGGACCAGACCTTGTTGTTTATCAAACCCAAATTTGCTTGGGCTCTTTAATGACCTTGACCTTGAAGGTTATATTACTGAATTTTCTCAGATTGTGCATTTATTGGTGTGTGTGTATGTATAGTATATGTATTATATATATATATATATATATAAATGTGTGTGTGTGTTTATATATATATATATATCAAATAGATATATATAAATTGCGTCATTTTTTCTATTTTTAGAAATTGCATCATTTTTTTCTATTTTTATAAATTGCGTCATTTTTTTCTATTTTTAGAAATTGCGTCATTTTTTTCTATTTTTAGAAATTGCGTCATTGTTTCTATTTTTAGAATTTGTTCCTATTTTTAGAAATTGCGTCATTGTTGCTATTTTTAGAAATTGCGTCATTAGTTGCTATTTTTAGAAATTGCGTCATTGTTGCTATTTTTAGAATTTGTTGCTATTTTTAGAAATTGCGTCATTTTTTCAATATTTAGAAATTGCGTCATTGTTGCTATTTTTAGAATTGCGTCATTGTTGCTATTTTTAGAATTTGTTGCTATTTTTAGAAATTGCGTCATTGTTGCTATTTTTAGAAATTGCGTCATTGTTGCTATTTTTAGAAATTGCGTCATTTTTTCTATTTTTAGAAATTGCGTCATTTTTTTTTATTTTTAGAAATTGCGTCATTTTTTTTTCTATTTTTAGAAATTGCATCATTTTTTTCTATTTTTAGAAATTGTGTCATTGTTGCTATTTTTAGAATTTGTTGCTATTTTTAGAAATTGCGTCATTTTTTCTATTTTTAGGAATTGCGTCATTGTTGCTATTTTTAGAAATTGCGTCATTTTTTCTATTTTTAGAAATTGCGTCATTGTTGATATTTTTAGAAATTGTGTCATTGTTGCTATTTTTAGAAATTGCGTCATTTTTTCTATTTTTTAGAAATTGCGTCATTTTTTTCTATTTTTAGAAATTGCGTCATTGTTGCTATTTTTAGAATTTGTTGCTATTTTTAGAAATTGTGTCATTTTTTCTATTTATAGAAATTGCGTCATTTTTTTCTATTTTTAGAAATTGCGTCATTGTTGCTATTTTTAGAAATTGCGTCATTTTTTCTATTTTTAGAAATTGCGTCAATTTTTCTATTTTTAGAAATTGCATCATTGTTGTTATTTTTAGAAATTGTGTGACTTTTTTATTCTTAGAAATTATGTCATTTTTTTGTATTTTTAGAAATTGCGTCATTTTTTCTATTTTTAGAAATTGCGTCATGTTGCTATTTTAAGAAATTGCGTACTGTTGCTATTTTTAGAAATATGCTTAATGTTTCTATTCATATATATACAAAATATATAAAGAAAACTAATGTGACAAGACAGAGCAACTAAATTTATAAAAAGGAAACGTTAATATATGTTCAAACCTTTCTATGTTTGCGTTTAGAAAAAGTAAAAAGTCGAGCGTTGCCCCCGCCCGGCGGTGGCTCTTGTTTTTGTTGAATTTACAAGGGACAAGGGGTTTAATTTCTGTTCCTGAATTGAATTTTGATATGAACTGGCTTACTTTTGATATATTTGATATCGCTTTACCTACTTTTTTTTGTCTTTTATGTACAGACTTGAAATTTGGACTATGGGTGTAATTTGTGTAATTTTTGATAATTTGACTTTCATTCTTGTGTTCTTGACATACAGACTTGAAATTTGGACTAGGGGTGTAATTTCTGATGCCGAATTGAATTTTGATATTAACTGGCCTTCTTTTCATATTTTTTTACAATGTTTGACCTATTGTCTTTTTTTGAGGTACAGTTATGTTACCATACAGAATGTATAAAAAATTTTTGTCCCAAACTGTGAACTTCAAACATCTACACCTTACATGTTTTGCATGTGACATTTTGTGTTTTCATTCAAAAAAAGTTTAAAAAAAAAATGTCCAATCAAAATTAATCCTGCTCTAGTGGTCAGTTGTTCTGCATTTATTCTACATAGTTTCATAGGAACACACTTGCAACATACATATTTTAACAAATCCTTTCCAAAATATTAGGGCAAAATATTACAATTTTTATAGTGAATAATGAAATGATGGGTTAGATGAGTCATCTAGGGCCATCTTAGTGGTCCTATTGTTTATTATGAAGAAAAAAAGCTAAAACAATCAGTGTTTTCATACTAATTTTTTTCACCTCAGTGGAGCATATCTCTGAAAAGGTCTTTGAAATGTCAACATGAAACTTCATAGGTGGATAGATCTTTTTGAGGAGGAATGTTGTGCGCAAGAATGATAACTCTATCCTTTATAATGTTTGAGTTATTGCCATTTGTTATTTTTCAAACTTTTTGTCCGGAGCTTATCTAAAAAGATGTTAGAGGTAACAACTTGAAACTTCATAGGTGGATAGATCTTATCAAACTTCATTCAGAATTCATGTCACGTTATTGTGAGCAAAATTCTGAGTTTCCTTTAGATATGAGCAAGAAAATGTTTATTACCCCCCGCCGAAAAGACGGATATAGAATTAGTCTCCATCCGTCCGTCCGTCTGTCCTTCCGTCCGTCACTCTACATTTTTGTCCGGAGCATATCTCAAAAAGTATCAATTTGAAACTTCATAGGTGGAGGTATCAACTTGAAACTTCATTTGTGGATAAATCATATTTAGAAAAAGTGCAATGCACAAGAATGATAACTCTACGCTGCATATTTTTTTTCTTTGTTGCCCTTTGTTATTCTTCAAAGTCAATTTTTGTCCACAGCATAACCCAAAAAGCCTTTGAGATATCAACATGAAACTTCATGTGGTTAGATCACACTCAGGAGGTGTGCAATGCAAGAGTGATAACTGTACCATTTCTAAATTTTGAGTTATTGCTCTTTGTTATTTTTCATACTTAATTTTTCACCTGAGTGGAGCATAAATTAACTAAAAAACAAACTTTGAGATGTCAATGTAATCTTCATAGGTAGATAGATCTTTTTGAGGATGAATGTTGTGCGAAAGAATGATAACTCTAACCTTTATAATTTTTGAGTTATTGACATTTGTTATTTTCTTACTTTTTGTCCGGAGGATATCTACAAAAGTGGTAGAGGTAACAACTTGAAACTTCATAGGTGGATAGCTCTTTTTGATGAGAAGTGCAGCACACTAGAATGATAACTAACCGTGCATTATTTTTCAGTTATTGCCCTTTGTTATTTTTAGTCCCCTACCGGTTTACCGGAGGGGACTTTAGGTTTACCCTCCGTCCGTCTGTCCGTCCGTCTGTCTGTCCGTCCGTCAGTCCGTCCGTCCACAAAACTGGATCCCGCGATAACTTGAAAAGTACTGAAAATATTTTTATGAAACTTGGTATATGGATAGATGGCAGTATGGAGATTATGCACGTCTTTTTCTTTACTTCCTATGTTGAAAATTCTGGTTGCTATGGCAACAAATAGGCTGAAAATATGTCAAATTTTACACATAAACTGGATCCCGCGATAACGCAAAAAGTACTGGAAATATTTTTATGAAACTTGACATATGGGTAGATGGCAGTAATGAGATTATGCACGTCTTTTTCTTTTCTTCCTATGATGAAAATTCTGGTTGCTATGGCAACAAATAGGCTGAAAATGTGGCAAATTTTACACATAAACTGGATCCAGTGATAACGCAAAAAGAACTGGAAATATTTTTATGAAACATGACATATGGGTAGATGGCAGTCTTGAGATTATGCACGTCTTTTTCTTTTCTTCCTATGTTGAAAATTCTGGTTGCTATGGCAACACATAGACTGAAAATATGGCAAATTTTACACATAAACTGAATCCAGTGAAAACTCAAAAAGTACTGGAAATATTTTTATGAAACTTGACATATGGGTAGATAGCAGTCTTGATATTATGCATGTCTTATCTGTTCTTCCTATTTTGAAAAAATATCAGTTGCCTTGGCAACAAATAGACTTAAAACATGGCAAATATAACAATATTTGTGATTAGTCAAAAAGAGCTGAAAATTTTTATGAAATTGCATCTTTAATTCAAGAGTTATCTCCTCTTTATGAATTTTGCTTTTAAAATGTTATATTTTGGTAACAGGGATGTTTCAAATATTAACTTTAGAGTGTCGTTCAGTCCGTCTGTCTTTCTGTTCATAAAAACTGTTTCCTGTGATCACTTTTAAAGAACTTTTCCAACAAATTTACTTAAAATAGAGAAAAATTGAAACACTAGTGAATGGCCATCAGAATGTTGATGGGGTTCTAACCGGTAGGGGACTTATGGATTGCTTGCAATACTATGATAATTGCTTGTTCATACTTAATTTTGTCCAGGGTATAACTACAAAAGCCTTTGAGATATCTACATGAACCTTCAAAGGTGGACAGATCTCACTCAGGAGATATGCAGTGCAAAAGAGTGATAACTCTACCCTTCATAATTTTTAGTTATTGCCCTTTGTTATTTTTCATACTAATTTTTTCACCTCAGTGGAGCATATCTCTGAAAAGGTCTTTGAAATGTCAACATGAAACTTCATAGGTGGATAGATCTTTTTGAGGAGGAATGTTGTGCGCAAGAATGATAACTCTATCCTTTATAATGTTTGAGTTATTGCCATTTGTTATTTTTCAAACTTTTTGTCCGGAGCTTATCTAAAAAAAAAGTTAGAGGTAACAACTTGAAACTTCATAGGTGGATAGATCTTATTGGGGAGCATTGCAGCACACTAGAATGATAACATACCGTGCATTGTTTTTTCAGTTATTGCACTTTGTTATTTTTCATACTTTATTTTTGTCCAGGGTATAACTACAAAAGCATTTGAGATTTCAACATGAAACTTCATAGGTGGATAGATCTTACTCAGGAGGTATGCAGTACAAAAGAGTGATAACTCTACCCTTCATAATTTTTGAGTTATTGCCCTTTGTTATTTTCCATACTAAATTTTTCACCTGAGTGGAGTATATCTCTGAAAAAGTCTTTGAAATGTCAACATGAAACTTTATAGGTGGATAGATCTTATTGGGGAGGAATGTTGTGCGCAAGAATAATACCCTTTATATTTTGTTAGTTATTGCCATTTGTTATTTTTCATACTTTTGTCCGGAGCTTATCTCAATTATTATTAATTGAGCCTTGATTTTAAACTAAATGTGTCTGTATTTCTAACCATCCTTTACTGGTTTTAGATTATCATTATTGTTTAATAGGTTTACTTAATTAATGTTGTTCATTATGTCTTATATATATATGATTATGTTTTATCGGATTTATGTAAAGCACTCTTGAACATTTATTATTTATGAAAAGAGTGCTATAGAAATGTGGTATATAATAATAATAATAATAATAATAATAATAATAATAATAATAATAATCTCAAAAAGGTGTTAGAGGTATCAACTTGAAACTTATTAGGTGGGTAGATCTCATTGAGGAGGAGTGCAGCACACAAGACATTTAACCTACCGTGCATTATTTTTCAGTTATTTCCCTTTGTTATTTTTCATACTAATTTTGTCCAGAGCATAACTACAAAGGCCTTTGAGATATCAACATGAACCTTCATAGGTGGATAAATCTCACTCGAGAGGTATGCAGTACACAAGAATGATAATTATTCTGCTCTACTACATATAAACATGGCTCTTGTAACAAGTTACATGATTATGATATTTTAAAACCTTCTGAACAAGTTAACATGTCAATTCAAAACAATGCTATTTGGAGATACCTTATCAATATATTTAGTTGGTTTTTTTGTTGTTTTTTTTTTGTGTGTGGGGGTTATTTTTATTTTTTTTTTTGTTTTTCGCCGTGACAATCATATTGCTGCATTTCCCAGCAATTTTTTACTTGTATCTACTTCTTCTTACTGTCATGACACTTTTAAGAGCATTTCAGGGAAAACAGAAATTTTGATGTATTATAGATTTATATGGGCTCATGTAAAAGAAATCATTCTGAAATGTTACAGAACTACCACTTTTACCGTATATAGGATTATGTCGTTTCATGGTATAACACATATTGATCTTTAGAATAGTTGATTAATAGAAGGGTAGTCAAATAATAGACAGGCATAGAGTCATTAGCAATGAACACACTCGTCATAAATACCCATTTGATTTCTTAATATCTGTGTAATTGATTTTATCCTACTGATTTATCATTAAATTATGAGGTAAATGAAATAGGACTGGTATTTCCATTGTTAGTTTTCATCAATTGTTATTTTTCAGATTGTCCAAACATTCTGATGAGAACCTGATGAATCTACACAACATATCAATAGCTTTTGGATCAACCCTTATGAAATCGGACAAAGCAGAAGATGTAAGTGTTCTTCATGTATAGTTATGTGAGGGTGGATAAGAAAAACATGGACGTTTGTTACATTTTTTTTGTTTGTACTGATAATAAGATCAAATATGCATAGTAAATGTGTAGTTATATACCAACATTTTTCTATATATCTGTTAAATTTGGATATGACAGGTCCATTGTGTCTCCCATAGCAACTATCTTTAATTGGTTAGTGCAATGGTACCAGCATACAGTAACAACATCAAGTTGACGTTTAGACTTTGACTACTTTATATTTTATGATTTCCATGTATGTCTTACACTTATTAGATGTAAGAAAAGACAGTACCGCTGTGAAAACTTAACAAAATGATTAGATTTTATTTATTTCTCATATAAAACATCTAGAACATGATCAGTTTAAATGAACATATTTAGCACTTTACTGAAGAAAGCTGTAAACATATTTAAACCTGTCTCAAATCTGCTACATAGACTAACCTGAACATCTAAACTATTTTCTTCCCTTTTCATGTGTATGAAGTAGGTATATTTCAGTATCTTTTGTTTTTTTGTTTATTTTGTCTTGGTTTAATCTTACATCAAAGAAATAGTGCTCAAACAGCTAAAAATTAGGCAGTATCTCTAACGTGTTCTTTTAAGTTAATTTCATAGTTAACTTATGGTTAGTGATTCTTACATAAATCTATGAGTGATATACTTTATAGTCAACAGATATTTTATCTTAGAATCTACTTAATGTTGAGGGTTTTGCTATTAATTAGTATATCAAATAGAAAGGAAAAAAAAAACATTATAAAAATCATAAATCATATAAGAAGTCATATATACATTGATATAGATGTAATATCGTCACTTTGTTTCAGCAGACAATAAATGTGAGTGCTGTAGGCAGTTCTATGCAGTTAGAGATGAAGGTGATATCAGATATCGTAGATTATCACGAGTGGTTGTTTGATATCAAAGCTGTAAGTATTGTTTTACCTTACATTTAGGAACTATACATAGTTATGTTCATGAGTTTGTGATAGGTAAGACAAATAATATTCATGTTATGTCATTTAAAGGGATTTCAGCAATAAAATACAAAAGGTGAAGTGGTCAAGTGTATAGACGCTAGTCTAAGTGCATGATCATGGAGACTTAGCCTGACGTTACATTGATGGCATAAACACACCTTTCTTGCTGCTAACATTGATAAGAGTTTAACTGTTATTCTGCTGAAACCAAAAGTATATAGCCTGGCCAGCCTGCACAAAGTTTGTTCTCTTGAACTCAGTTGAAACTTTAAGATTTGCTTGAACTTGAAGGGCCTGCACAAATTTGTTTGAGAGATCGGTAGTTCAAGTCAATCGAGGTTGAAGTATTATCATGCATAATGAGATAGTATTTTACGGAGGACTTTGGCCTGAAGGTTATCCATTTAAGTCGTTTTTAATGTAAAATACATCATGTACAAAATAAATTGTGAGTGCATCTTTTTATTTTTGAATTACAAAGAAATTAAATGGTTTGATTCTGATTGCCTTAGATTCAGATTGCCCACTCATACTTTATCTTAACAAACAACTTGGTATGTGAATGACACCTCTAATTTTTTATCAATTGACCGTATAATGATTACAAGGTGTTAAAAGCATGTGATGCCAACTGTCACTTATTCAGAAAGTGTCGATCCGCAAATTTTGTTGTCTTATTGTGTTCAACTGAAAAAGTGTGTTTTTAATATATTTCTGCTAATGGGACCAGAGATAAAGTCCCAAGTGTTGGAGTGATGGGTGTTTGAGCTTTGTTTGGTAGAACAATATATATTACATAGGAATTTTGCTGCGACCCTATGGCAATATTATAGGAAGGGGTGGGGGTTGGGTATTCAAGTGATCCAAGTTAGAGGGAACGAGGTTTACTGTACGTGCAATCTAACCAGGTGATCAGTTGGCTGACCAATTTCATATTTTCATCTTGACATCCCCAAAATTGATAATGGACAGTTCCAAAAATGGAAGCTGGACAGTTTCTTCAAGTTAAGGGTTGAAGAATTTGCTTACATAGTATTTCAGTGAATCTACAAATTTTAATGAATATAAAACTCTTATAGAAAATCAATTAATATTTACACATTTTATTCAGGGATACTTCAATGAAATAAATTTTGACATGTGTGTTCATTTAAATTTTATTGATCAAAATGGAAATTCTATTTCTCTTAAAGAACTATTCTACTTGATATTGCCTTCTATATTATGTTTATATCATATAAAAGGATGAGAAAAAGTCCAATAGTATAGAAGACAGGATTAAAGAAGCACAGATGAAAATGGAGGAATGTAACAAAAATAGAAAGGTATTAATACTCCAATATTTTTTCAATACATGAAAATAAGGGTTGACCAGAATGACCTTGACCTTGAGTCATAAAATTATTGAATTTACAAATTATTTGCTGTAACTGGCTTGATATTTGTTATATATGAATATTTATGAATTGGATTGTGTCATATTTAGACACAATATATAACCTTTATAAAGATTTCCATAACTTTGACCTAGACTTTTAAATGACTTTTACCTTGAAGGTGTAATTATTGAATTTTCACAGTTTTTTGCTATGATTGGTGGTAAAAGCCAGATATTAGTATATGGACATTATTAATACTTGGACAAACATAACATATCAATGCACAATTAAAAATCTTTTAGCATTTTTTCTGTATATAACTGAGTGAATGGGTAAACCTTTTTATGCCACCGCAGCATCTGCGATGCGGTGGCATATAGCGATTCACCTGTGTGTGTGTGTGTGTGTGTGTGTGTTTGTTAACCAGGTTTTCAATTTTGAAAATCCTGGTTATTAGATTGGGGTATGGCGGGCGGATGGGCGGATGGGCGGCTGGGCGGATGGGCGGATGGGCGGGCGGGCGTCAAACGAAATTGTGTCCGCTCTGTAACTCTTCAACCCTTTGAAGAATTTTGATGAAACTTCAGACAAATGTTTACCACATCAAGATGACGTGCAGAACGCATGTTCCGCATGGCTGGCTCCAAGGTCAAGGTCACAGTGACATTAACATTGAAAATCCTGTCCGCTCTGTAACTCTTCAACCCTTTGAAGAATTTTGATGAAACTTCAGACAAATGTTTACCACATCAAGATGACGTGCAGAACGCATGTTCCGCATGGCTGGCTCCAAGGTCAAGGTCACAGTGACATTAACATTGAAAATCCTGTTTACATGATTTTAACTTGAAATTGTGTCCGCTCTGTAACTCTTCAACCCTTTGAAGAATTTTGATGAAACTTCAGACAAATGTTTACCACATCAAGATGACGTGCAGAACGCATGTTCCGCATGGCTGGCTCCAAGGTCAAGGTCACAGTGACATTAACATTGAAAATCCTGTCCGCTCTGTAACTCTTCAACCCTTTGAAGAATTTTGATGAAACTTCAGACAAATGTTTGCCACATCAAGATGACGTGCAGAACGCATGTTCCATATGGCTGGCTCCAAGGTCAAGGTCACAGTGACATTAACATTGAAAATCCTGTTTACATGATTTTAACTTGAAATTGTGTCCGCTCTGTAACTCTTCAACCCTTTGAAGAATTTTGATGAAACTTCAGACAAATGTTTACCACATCAAGATGACGTGCAGAACGCATGTTCCGCATGGCTGGCTCCAAGGTCAAGGTCACAGTGACATTAACATTGAAAATCCTGTCCGCTCTGTAACTCTTCAACCCTTTGAAGAATTTTGATGAAACTTCAGACAAATGTTTACCACATCAAGATGACGTGCAGAACGCATGTTCCGCATGGCTGGCTCCAAGGTCAAGGTCACAGTGACATTAACATTGAAAATCCTGTTTACATGATTTTAACTTGAAATTGTGTCCGCTCTGTAACTCTTCAACCCTTTGAAGAATTTTGATGAAACTTCAGACAAATGTTTACCACATCAAGATGACATGCAGAACGCATGTTCCGCATGGCTGGCTCCAAGGTCAAGGTCACAGTGACATTAACATTGAAAATCCTGTCCGCTCTGTAACTCTTCAACCCTTTGAAGAATTTTGATGAAACTTCAGACAAATGTTTACCACATCAAGATGACGTGCAGAACGCATGTTCCGCATGGCTGGCTCCAAGGTCAAGGTCACAGTGACATTAACATTGAAAATCCTGTTTACATGATTTTAACTTGATTTGGCAGTCAAAGGTCATATCATCTTTGGAGGTAATTTAAAAAAGATATGATATATTATTTCATGTCTACTTTGTAACTTGTTTTTCATTATACAGAATTATCAATATAATTATAGTGAACAAATTCTTCTGTGCTGAACTCATCCTACATTTCTCAACGGATTTTGTTCAAACTTTTACAGAAGCTTTGTCATCAAGCACCCTGGCACATATTGTCGGGGTTTTGTGATTGGATAGTGTTTGACCTAATTATGGCCCTTTGTTTTTTTCCTTATACATAATATTATAGTGAACACTTCTTCAGTGGCAATTCCTCCTACATTATTCATGTTTTACATTGCACATAGTTACATTGTTTGTTGCTTGTATTTGTATTTCAAATACAACATATTTATCTACAATGGTGATAATTGAAAACCTGGTTTCATGGCATTGCCATGTTTCTTGTTTGTTTGTTTGTTTGTGTGTGTGTGTGTGTGTGTGTGTTAAATAGATTATATAGTGAACTTCAAAAATCTTCTTGTGAAAAACCACTGGTCCAATTTCAACCAAACTTGGCAGGATTGATCCTTGGGTGAAGGGCTTCCAAAGTTGTTCAAAGAATTTCATTCCATGCAGAAATCTGGTTGCCATGGCAACCAAAAGGAATTATAAGAATAAATTTAAAAAATCTTCTTGTAAAGACCCAAAAGGCCTAGAGCTTAGATACTTTGCATAAAGCATTGTCTGGTAGACCTCTACCAAGATTGTTCAAATTATAGCCCTGGGGTCAAAATCGGCCCCGCCCCGGGGGTCATTGATTTTCACTATATGTACATATAGTAAAAAACTTAAAATACCTTCTTGTAAAGACCCAAAAGGCCTAGAGCTTTGATATTTTGCATAAGGCATTGTCTGGTAGACCCTTACCAAGATTGTTCAAATGATAGCCCTGGGGTCAAAATCGGCCCCGCCCCGGGGGTCATTGATTTTCACTATATGTACATATAGTAAAAACTTAAAATACCTTCTTGTAAAGACCCAAAAGGCCTAGAGCCTAGATATTTTGCATAAGGCATTGTCTGGTAGACTTCTACCCAGATTGTTTAAATGATAGCCCTGGGGTCAAAATCGGCCCCGCCCCGGGGGTCATTGGTTTTCCTTATATATATATATATAGTAAAAACTTATAGTTAAAACTTTAAAAAAAATTCTAGCAAATACTAGAGGTTAGATATTTTGCATGAAACATTGTGTAGTAAACCTCTAGCAAGATTGTACAAATTATAGCCCTGGGGTCAAAATTGGCCCCACCCCCAGGGGTCATTGATTTTCACTATGTACATATAGTAAAAAAAAAACTTCTTGTCTGAAGGTACAAGGCTTAGAGATTTTATATTTGGTATGTAATATCATGGGTCCTCTACTAAAGTTGTTTTAATTATGCCCCTAGTGTTAAAATTGCCCTGCCCCAGAGGCGATAGTTTTCCTTATATGTATAAAGTAAAAACTTGAAAAACTTCTTCTCTGAATTGACAAAGGCTAGAGGTTAAATATATGGCATTAGACTTTGCGAAGTGAACCTCTACCAAGATTGTTCAAATTATAGCCCTTGGGTCAAAATGTGTTCCACCCCGGGGGTCATTGATTTTCATTATGTACATATAGTAAAAAAAAAATAAAAAATATTTTTGTCTGAAGGAACAAGGCATAGAGCTTTGATCTTTGCTATATAATATCATCTATAGGTCCTCTACCAAAGTTGTTAAAAGTTTTCCCTTGGTGTCAAAATTGGCCCTGCCCGGGGGCAGTGATTCTCATTATGTACACATAGTAAAAACAGAAAATAAGACAAATGTTTTCTGAATGGGAGAAAGCTACAGCTTAGATATTTGACTTGAAATGTTGTTTGGTGGACCTGTATCAAGATTGTTTTGAATTATACCCTTGGGTCAAAATTTTGCCTTGCCCAAGGGGAAAGTGACCTACTTTCTTATCCTTTGATGTACAGCAATGAAATTTTGACCATGTGCACAGTTTAAGTTGTAAAATTGAACTTTGATATCAGGTGATCTAGATTTTGATGATGTGACCTACTTTCTTGTCCTTTGATGTACAGCTATGAAATTTGAACCATGTGCACAGATTAAGATGTAAAGTGAACTTTGATATCAGCTGGATTTAGATTTTAACAAAGTGTCTTACTGTGTTGTCCATTGATAGAGTCATGAAATTTAGGCTGTGTGAAAATATTACCTTCACCACCAAATTCACCAGACTCAAGTGCATTGATATATTCCTCCTCTGATCTTTTATTGGATTAACAATAGATTCAACCACTAATCTGATGATAAGAATTAGATAGGTCAGGGATCTATGCATTATGACAATCTTCAATTGTATAGAAACAAAAAATATCTGTTCCTACACTACTATTTAGTGTTGTATTAATGCGGTGGCATAGCATTTTTCTCAAATGCAATCTTGTTTGGAATAGGGGCCTCCGTGGCCAAGTGGTTAAGGTCGCTGACTTGAGATCACAGGTCCCTCACTGCTGTAGGTTCGATCCTCACTGGGGTGGAAATCTTTCATGTGAGGAAGCCATCCAGCTGGCTTACGGAAGGTCGGTGGTTCTACCCAGGTGCCCGCTCGTGCCTGAAATAATGCCCGGAGGGGCACCTGGGGTCTTCCTCCACCATTAAAGCTGGAAAAAAAATCGACGAAAAATCTCGGCGGGACGCTTTAGGATGGCCTGACTTGAGTGTACGGTCGCCAATATGGGCTTTCCGGCGGCGACCTTAAATAAACGCATTTAAAAAAAAAAAAAAAAAAAAAACTTTTTTGGAAATTTGTTACTGACAAGAATCATCTGTGTCTGGGACATTTGAGCTTGCCAAACATGTTCATATTATTCTTTTTTATCAAAATAATGGTAAGCAGCAGATAATTATACTCTTTAAGCAAGGTAATTAATTGTAATTTTTGTTGTTGCACAGAATGAAACATCATAAAATATAGGTCCAGTTCAAATTTGGCTTTAGACAACTTCTTTTTCAAATAGTTAAAGTGGCAAGTGGGGTAATGAATCACTTTTGGTGATAGTTATATTAAATCATAACAAGTAAAGTAAAAAATGGACACGTATTAATCGGTGCTTTATGTAAGCATGGTCAGTGTCTATATTCCGTCAAAATATATTTATTCCGTAGAAACTAAGACTCAGTGCGATATTTACTGCGTTATAGCTAAATGTATCTGAAGAATATTTTAAACCTTATCTGAAATTATAAATAAATAATATATTTAATTCAAGTTAGGTTTCAATGTAAATTATGTGTTTTGGGGGCTAAGAAGCTACGGTGATTCATATTACTGTCAATCAAGTCACGTGAGTTACCTACCGTTAATAAGACCATGAAGACAAATGATCAGCAGTCAGATTAACTGAACAAAAGGCAATCAAATTATGAATTTATTTCAAAAGTAAACATTTATGTCGATTTACAATATATAAAATAAAAAACTTTTTCGTAGCTATATAGGTATTTTTAATCGTCGATTATTTCAAACATATTAAAATTGTACAGTATTCGACGCAATCAATTTCGGATACGTATACGTCAAAGAGAAATATTGGAACAAACGTTGTAAAAACCAATATTCGAATATATTCGAATATGGAAAACGAATATTCGAACATCAAATTCCTTATTCGTTCCCAGCCCTAATAACAAGATAATGAATATTAGTACATGTACTTGGATTGTATCAGTTCAGTCAACTTTCTGTATGATATAGAATTTAGACAGCATAAAGATTGCAAAATTTATGTCATTAAAATTACTTATACTTTAGTCAGGTTTCATTGTATACACATATTGTTATGAATGTTGCTTTTTGTGTTGCTGTTTTTACTGGAAATAAATGTGAATATAATAACTATGTTTGTTTGAACAGACAATTGTACAGACCAATGATATGATGATATTTGTTTATCATATGGATCCTAAAGGCAATGCAGAATCAGTCTGGGTAAGTCAAAGTGTAATTAATGTACCTTCATTACCCCTAACTATAATACATTGTCAGTGTTCACTTATTCATAATACATTGCTTCTGTTAATTATACATGGTTATTTATTGTTTGGTTTGTATTTTGGTTGTACATTTTTTTATGCAATTATTTATCAATATTATTGTTGATTTTGAGGTCATTAGGTCAAAGATCAAGGTCACTGACACTGCATAAAATCTTAAAACAGTCAATGATTTTGAAAGTGAAAGTTTGTGAAATATGGTAGGGACATTGTTACGGTTCATATCGGAATATCAGTCTCGAGGGTACCCCGCCCATTTGGCGTGTACCCGGGGACGAATATTTCGATCTGAACCACAAACATTTAAGATATTTTTTCTTGCTTATTTTGCCATATTCTTTCCTATTCAAAATGGTTTACTTCAATAATATAATTGTTCATGGAAATTAATTTCATTTCATCCATAACTATTTTCTTTCAATAGCGGATGAATCTACAACTTTATTAACAACGGCAAAACGACCCATCCTAAACACATAGTTACCTTCAAAAATGCCCCAAAACGATGAACTACTAAAATGCCCTAAATGATGTCATTTTAAGGTGACTTATTCATAAAATGCACTGAAATGATGCTATTGTATTGCATGCAACTCATCTGGCATCCCCATGCCAGATTGATGCCAGATGAAATTTCGGGCGTGGGTAAAACTAACAGAAACACCAGTCTGCTATGCAAGAAATGTGAAGTTGGATTATATGTGTCCCATGGATTTCTAGTCATTTATTGTGGTTGATAGATATTAAATGGATTGCCTTTACTGTTATTTATAGTGTCTCAAGTTTTAGTACATTGCCTTTTTAGCTCACCTGTCACAAAGTGACATTATCTGCTTTTGTGATCGCTTTTTGTCCGTCATCCTTCCATCATCCGTCAGTAAACTTTTACTTCAAACGACATCTCCTCATAAACCGCTAAGCCAATTTCATCCAAACTTCACAGGAATGTTCCTTTGGCAGTCTACTTTAAAAATTGTTCAAAGAATTTAATTCCATGTAGAACTCTAGTTGCCATGGCAACCAAAGAAAAAACTTAAAAAATCTTCATTATAAAAACCCCAAAGAGCTAGAGTTTAGATAATAAGTAGTGAGTGTCTACCAAGTTTGTTCAAATAAAAGGCCTGGGATCAAAATTGGCATTGTTTTTCCCTATATGTGTATAGTAAAAACTTAAAAAATTTTCTTTGAAAAAATAACAAAAATCTAGAGATGAGATATTTATCATGAAACATCTACTTATGGGTGTCTACCAAGTTTGTTCAAATAAAAGCCCTTGGGTTATAATTGGTCGCGCCCTGAGGGCCTTTATACAGGTGAGCAATTTCAGGGACATCATGGCCCTCTTGTTTTGTTGCCTAGTTATAATGCGTTTACTATATGGGCTGAAAAAAAATAATTAGGAAAAGATGAACACTTGGGTTACTAGATTATATCTGTTAATTATAATTGTATAAATCTAATTATGATGAAAATAAATTACTAGTGTTAGAGATTTTCAGAATTTTTCTCAAAATATATTACTTGTTTAATATCCATGCTTTGACAAAAATCTATTCTAAACACTTTTCAGACAATTGAATTTAATATATCTATTTATAGACTGATGATGCGAAGTAAAGCTTTGTTGCTATTTATTTATAAACTTGCATTGTTTTTCTATTAATAGATTAACAAGGACAGCACAGCTGCGGATGTTGTCCATACACTGACCAGTAAACTTAAACTGACCACTGGCTCTTGGACACTGCATGAAATAATAAAGAATGAACTTGGTAAGAATTTAAATTAATATGAAGCATACATCCATATCTACCTTCAGGGGACATAATCCCAGATTTTCACAGATGTCCAATTACAGCTTTTAATTTTTATTATGCCTCCGAGCATATGAAAATTTAACCGCCTTTCCAAACTAACTAGTATGGATAGGAGGCCATCTAACTGGAAAACAGAATTAAAAGGAACAATCAGATTTCTATCTATAAGAATATAGGAAGTGGCCAATTAAACAACGGAAAATAACAATAGAAATGGCCCTTTGTCTCATTCTGGTCTTGTACGCTTAACCTTTTTCCAGCAAGTTGTATTTATCTTATATTACTCAACTATACTTTATTTATTTAATGATATCTTCCATACTTGGTTGGTTGATACTTAAATAGTTTGGGCAGTAACTTAGTCATGCAGTGAAGGATTATAGATAACTTGGCACAAATGTCTGCCACATCATGATAATGTGTCAAATCAAGATCCTTGTCCCTACCTTCAAGGTCAAGGTCACACAAGGTTATTTTGCAGTACCATAGCCTTATTTGAAAATAATATACAGCACACAATTAATTGGTTCAATGGAAAATTTGCTAGTGCTAACCAAGCATTTATAGTTTGAACGTAGTCCTTCTCACCAGAAAAGTTTGAGGGTACACATTGATGTCCAAACTGTAAATTTGTAATGCTATAAAGATGCAGTTTTATAATAGTGTATAGTCAAAAAGGTGTTTGTTTGTTAATGATTGATTGATTGTACTTAAAGTTTCTAGTTTAAAGTATTTACCTAGACTTTGAGTATTATAACCCCTAGGTTCAATAACAAAATTAATTATATGATTTAATTACTTTTGAAACAAACAAACTTTAGTTAGCTTAAAAAAAAACAACAACAAAAAAAATAATTAAATTATTTTCAGTTTTTCTATTAAAATCAATTTAAAGTATTCATATTCATTATGATATATGTATTACAGAACGTCCACTACACCCAGATGCAAAGCTGTGGCCATTATTGAATGAATGGCAAAATTGGTCTAGTGATTACAGGGCTGCTGCTGTACTTTGTTTGAAGACCAGTGAACTCAGAGTAAAGCTAGAAAATGCTGTAAGTTTATATCAAATCTGTAGTGAAACATTGTTATATGATCCATAGTTTTGTCATCTGTAAAGTATGTTATACATAAAACCATGTTGTTACCATTGACCAGGGTCAAAACTGACCTCCAGAATGCACCTTCAGAACTCTCAGAAGAGAGCCATGATAGTATGCAGTTGCTGTTGGTCTGTAGCTTTTGCAGTGTGTCATACTAATGAAACCCAAGTTCGGCCTTCAAGAAAAGAAATAGTGCAACAATTCAGATGCTTGCATATGTTTGTATTGCTTGGGGGCTCTTACACAAACATCCAGTGACTCGGCCCCCTCTTGTTCATACCATTTTTTGACAAGTGTGAAGTCATTTCACCATATGATACAATTACAATGTACTTAAAGCTTAAAGAAAAACTGTTCTTTTTGCATGTTGCAATGTTTTGACATGTTGTGTCAGTGGAAGTCAATCAACTGCATGTTGAGGAACTATATATTCAGTGATGTCATTTTAAACTTTGATTGCTGCTCAAGATATAAAATGCTGTCATATTGAGAAAGTTCTGTAGTTTTGTCTGCTTTTAGTGTGGTTTCCTATACCATCATTATGAAACGCTAAAATAGTGGAATTATAAATACAATTATTTAATAATACTTAAATCTTTTTTGTTTACAGTACAACCCCAGCAAGCCATTATTTGCTGAGATGAAATATTGTGATAAGAAGAAGTTTTCAAAGGTGGCATTTGAATTTACACAGTTTAGATTGTCCTGTTATAAAGACGCCAAGGTTGGTAATACCATGATTGTCATTTCAAAGTTTTACAGAATATGATTTAGTAGGTGTCATTTACAAAGATTTGCTAATGCTTGGCCTAACATATTTGTTAGAATTTTTTACCAAATAAATATAAAGTGATCAAACTTTAATCTAATTAACAAATTGAGTATGAAGAACAACTTGTATAATTGAAATAGCTATAGTCAGTCAGAGATATAAATTACTTGATTTATGAAATAACAACAGACCTGTGTCATAAGTGTAACCAAGTCAACATGTGTAACTGAGGATTATAACAATACCTTGTTGCTTAATTCCAGTAACTTATAACACTTCAAATGAAACATTTCTATGTCAAAGAACAGTTCAGTGGGTGGAGTAAGTGTTAAATGCACATGCATTATTTCGTGTATTATTCAGGCAATGGGTAAACCAATAGGGAGATGGAACATTGAAGATCTCAGTATATACAAGGGATGTGATTCTAAAAGGTCTTCTCCTACAAAGTTAGTATTTTCATTTTGAAACGGAAAGTATAGTAACTACCAGTATTTGAAAATAGTTTTTGTTTGTTAGCTCGACTTTTTCAAAAAGCTATTGCTACAGTCATACACTCAGAGACACTTATAACCCGCTTACATTTTTCAGTATAACTTGGTTATTTGTTCAGTTTTTGAACACAATGAAAAGTCTCTAAATCGAACTGAATCTGTATAATAACCCGTTCTAATACTTTCTGTGTCATCCCATGACTATAACAAAGTGTAAACAATTGTCTCATGATTATGACGTAGTGAAGGCTTAGGGAATATTTCTCCATTCTGGAATAAGGGCTTCCTTGAGTTCCAACAAGTCCTGCATTCCAAGTTACCAGAGCTAAACATCACAATTGTCGGCTGAAAGTGAGAAACCGGCCAGAAGCTCCAAACAATTTGCTGGAACACGAGCAAGCCCTTATTTAGGAATAGAGAACTGTGAGGCAGGGTGTTTTCTTTGTTATAGCCAATTAGGAGGACATACAAAGTGTTAGAACTGGTAAAAATACAGTTTAATAGGATTCAGAGACTGTTCATTGTGTTACGATTTTTACAGTCATTTTGTGATTTTTTCATTTGAGAGTAGCCAATTTGTTTTGCTATTTTTTATATTTTCTTATTGACGAATTGTAAAAATAATTCCAAGTAAAAAGTATTATATGTTGAATTTTGTAAAGTCCAAATTTGAACAAATAATTTATTTATACAAAAAAATGTTAGTGTCAGGATAAAAGTGCCTCTGAGTGTATTGTCATTGACATTGCTGATGCAGTTGCCATCTGAAAATTATAACTTTGGTCATACGAATTTTACTTCTCAATTTATTGCCTTAATACTTGAACACAATAAACAACCCTTTGCACAAGAACTTCAAGTTAACAGGACTGAACTTGACCTTCACACATGAATTGAAAAGTATGAAATTTGAATTATATTTTGTTCAAGACCTTTACTTTTCTAGGAGTATTCATTACTGCAATATTCCTTCTTCAATGTGTTTGATCTTTGAAGTAAGAAAAAGTTGAGTCTGGTTCCCACCTGATGTTGGCTTTTGTTGAGGTTAAATGCCTATATCTAAGATTTTTAATTTGTAATTAAATGCATATGTTACCATTAATCACTAATCAAAATTGAGTAATAATTTTTTAAGTATTTCTACAATAAATGCTAATTTCTTTTACGATTCATTTCAGACATTCTTTCACATTTATTGTAAAGGGAGATAAAGTTGGGTAAGTGTTTGATATTCTCTAGTTTCATTATTCTATAATACTAGAGATAGATTTAAGTTGAACTTTATTCATACAGTTAAGTTTAAGTGCAGGAAACTAAATTAACGGAAGCTTATTGTCCCCCAACCCCCTTTGTGAAGAAGAGAAGAGGATAAAGAAATGGCTTAAATATGTCCAGTCCATACCTCAGTCATTTGTCAAGGGATTTGAAATAACTTGGCACAAATGTACACCATAAAAATAGGATTTGTCATTCCAAACTTAGAGTCAAGGTCACACTTGAAGATCAAATGTCAACATTGTCTGTTGGGAGATAATTATGTTCCCTGTCTGGTTCATAACTTTTCCATCCTTCATCGGATTTTGAAAAAGCTTAGCACAAAAGTTTACTATAATAAGATGATATGTTTTTCTCAACACCTGACCCCTACTACAAAGGGTCAAGGTCACAGAGGTCAAATTCTAACATGGTCTGTTATAGTGTCTGTTTCATTTCTGGTCCACAAATTTTCCATTATTCAAAGGATTTTGAAATAAGTTTGCAAAAAAATGAAATATACCACATTAAGACAAGGTGACACAGGCAACACCCAGACCCCTTGTATCAATGTCAATGTCACACAGGTCAAAGGTTAACAAGGTCTATTTTCTTGTCCAGAGAATAACCCTGCAAATATTGGAGAGATTTCAGTGAAACTGAAAGTATAAATGGGTAACAGTGAGGGGGAATGCACTACAAGAGAACCAAAATTCCAGCTTAGATATTTTTCAAATAATATCCATTTCTGTACTCATTTTCAATGATAATAACTGTAAAAATATATTTCTGTTGACACATACACAATTCGTCACAGTTATTCAATTTGTCTTCATAATGAATGTATTGATGCATGTGCAGGTTTAGCATTATCAAGATTTTACACATTTAGTTGAGATCCATATTACAAACTTTTGAAATATTGAAATTTTGTGCCTCATGTCCTTAGATGGGCGAAGTTGATAACTCTGTTTCGAATTCTTTGCTTATGTTATATTTGTGGAACCTGTGTTAGGTTATTGAAATTGAATTCAAGTATATGTTAATTAAGATTTTGTTTGGTTTACAGGGAGAGTGATCTACCATATTTTGGACGTGCTGTTTGTTGTCAATCAGAAGAGGAATTATTGTCATGGCTGTCTGGACTTCATATGTCACAGGTACTGAAACTTTTACTCATTAAGATAATTATGCCCACACTTTTTTTATCCATACTGGGATGTGCCAATGTGTTTGTCTGTTCGTACATATGTCTCATTTTCCTTGTTTGATCTTTTATTTTAGAAAGAATAAGAGCTTGCTAGGGGCATAACATTTGATTAGTTGATGACCCCTATTGGTTTTTAGGTCAAAGGTCAAGGTCATGCAGCTTTGGCCACTAAAAACTTGTCTGACCAATAACTATTGAACATTTAGGCCCGCAGCCCTTAAAATTTGGTGTTGAGTTTTGTCATAACTAGTAGATGACCCTGTTTGATTTTGTGGTCATTTGGTCAAGGTCACAGCTGATACATGAAATTGTTGTTTCATCAAGAACAATAAAACAATTTGCAATACTTATTTCAGTGATTATGCTATTATTTCATGTATATATACATATATTACATTAAACTTCAATGAAAGTTTCATTACATGTCAGCAGTCAAGAAAGTCAGCAATATTCACCAGGGAGGGTTGTTCATCTTCTGATATATGGTTGTTTACCCTTGAATAGTTGTTCAACTTCTTAGGTCTGTCTGTTCTGTAATTTTCAACAAACACTTCTTTACCCTTGGTTTACCTGTAACTTTCAGAACTGTGTGTTGCCACGTGAAATATCATGGTAAAAAAATATCAACCTTTTGAGATATTGACATAGTCCGGGAACTTTTTGTCTTTATAGCATATACACGACAGCCTTCACTTAACAACAAATATTTCAAATTTAAAGGAGAATTATAATTCTGAGTGTTTTGGGGTAAATGGATTTTAGAATATCATTGAATAAGTAGTCAGATCATTTGATGTAATTTCCTTGTTTTTATTTTGTATGTGAATATTTACTGGTTGTGACATTTTATGTCACATCAAACAGCATGGTTTTGCTACACTTGTTTACCTGAGATACATTATGTAAATTAAAATACCATTTCAGGTTTTTTTTGTTGTACATGTAAATGAAATATATATTTGGTTAAAATATTATGTGAAAACTTTATTTGTTTCAGAATCCTGGTAGAAGTAGTTGAATGGAATAATGCTTTAGTAAGTATGAATGTGTATAATTTACTTTCAAAAACAAAGAGTTTTATTCAAAAAGCAAACAACAACAGCAGCTTTATATATAGAACAAAAACAACTTGCAAATACTGATCTTTGTACCTGTAAAGGGAAATAACTCATCTGTAGAAAAATAGGATTTATAACAACAGAAATAACAAAAATTTATCAACATATGTATTGTAAATGTTATATGTTTATATGTGCCAGAGTCTAGTTGGAAAGTGATGATTGACCTTGAATAAATAATGTCCTTCAGACTGAATCTTTTTGAGCCATTTACCAGACAAATTGTCACCTTTTTGTCCTGTTTCTGTCATATTGTAATCTCTCATTAAGAATACATAGGTATCTTCATGTAGGTATATGTTTTATGACTATATAAAAATATCAGATTAGTGTTAAATACAGTATTGGATAAGAAAGTATTGTTGCTTTTAATTATGTACACATATTAACATTCCTTTATGTTCCTTCTTTTTCAGCAGGACTGAAGTGAAGGGAAAAGTGCAATCTAAAAAAAGATGATGTTCTTCCATTGATGCAGTAAATTCATTGTTGGTCTGCCCAAAGGATTTCAGACATGTATAATATGTTGGTCATAATGTGGACAAGAAAAATGAATCTTGTGATGGTATTACCTAAGTAATAAGGAGAGGTGAACATTCTTAGAATGTTATGTGAATTTAGTTGTGTAAGATATACAGAAAGTGACCTAGTGTCGAACATTTCAAAGCTTTGCAACTGTATTTGTAGACGTTCTGAATATAAATATGAATTAGTTAAAGAATTATATGACATTCCATCAGAGGTTAATGTAACTGAATGATATATCTGTATGATTCCTTATACAGCATTGTCATAGGACATTAAATGTGTGATGTCTTTTAATGCTTGGAGGTTAGGAGAAGGGGAGGTCGGCGGGGGTACAATTTTATTTTTCTTAATTGAAGTCTTTTTTTTTTAAATACAATTAAACATTTTATTCTGACATTTAAATGAGGATTGGCTAAAATAGTTTTTTATGAACAATACTTTATTTGGTATATATATATACTTAAAAGGACCAGTGTATGTTTTTATTTAAATTGATATCGTTTAAAGATCTTTTTAACATTGCTCCAAGGCAAACTTATAAATGAAACCCATTAAAAAGTGTAAAAAGTGTTGTTTTTTATAGTGCTGGTGTAAATATTGAAAAGGGATCAATTTTACTTTGTATATATATATATATATATGGGGACCATAGGGTATTGGGAACATGAATGTTTATGCAATGTTACATTTTAAATTGTTATGTCATTTTATATTTTATAATGATTATTATAAAATAATGTTTATTTTATATAATATTGTTTAAAATAATATCATGTTTGTTTATAATTTAAAACTTGTTAAACATGGAAGTATTTTTGTGAAAATTTTCAGTGCAGTGATGAATGTATATTGTGCAATAATTGCAGAATAATGTAATATATTTAGATGACATACCTGGTTATGTCCCCTTTTTATATGCATGTGTTATATAGATAGTGTCACAAATAATTGTATTAAGCTGTGGTTAATTAGAGTTATAATATATTAATTTTCCATTGTCCATGTGTTACTATATAAAATAATAGAGAACAAGAAATTTTTCAATGACAAGTCTATGTTTTATATTATTTATGCTATATATATAGGAGGCATTCAATAATCTCATTGTGTCTGTCTGCATGTCTGTCTGTGTATTTGTTACGAGTTCCATTTTTAGAGTTAAACAACAGGGTTTTATTTGCCCTGATCAATTTTTTCGCTGAGTTTTCCAGTAACACGTCAATTTATCAATAAACTACATGTATAGACTAGATTAATTTTTCTTGCATGTTCAAACAATATGTTTTGAACAAGGTATTGCTTGCTTTCTGTAAAGAAGCTTGTATGAAAAAGAGATATTTGAAAGAACAAAAGATGGTAGTGCTTATAACATTTATCAACAGTTAAATTATATGGTTCCAGTATTATATGGCTGATTCTCGAAAAAGTTGTAACATAGAATGGCTCTGTTATTTGATACACATGAATAATGTACATAAACAGAATAAATGTTTCGGAACAAAATATTATTTTGCTATTTTAAGTAGGGTTTTATCCGTTTAGCAATTATGTCGTGTATGCTCCACTCGCTTTAAGGCAATTAATTACCATATTTATTTCATATAAGCATTTTGGCAGTATTCTTTTTTAAAAATGCAAACAATAATTTTTGTATCAGATAATTAACTTTATACACTTAAATTGTTCTGAACTTCATGAATGTTAAATAAGCATATTAAAAAACTTTCTATAAATTTCATGCTTGAAAGGCATTATCCATATAAGTATTTTCATGTAAACTACATGTATGTTATATACATATGTTCATTAAAGGAAGTATAGAATTTTTACCATGAAAGACTTATAAGTTCTTTGATGTCCTGATTTTAGTATTTACAAAGTGTGATTCATTTAGGTATAACTGCTTCTAATGCTGCTTGCAACTGTTGTGCTTATTTGTTTTTCTATAGAATAATGAAAAAATGTTATATATTATACTGTAATACGAATGATTTTATTGATACTCTGGTACATATGTTGTTTATTCTTATTTCATTCCTCTATATAATTTATCATTGTCTAAGTCATATATTTATTTTTTGTATAAATATATCTTGTTTATGTGATTTTTTTTCTAGAACTTACAGTTTGTATTTACTGTAAAATCTTTGTGCCAGCTTTTTTCGGTATAGACGACTTTTGGACGTTTGTAATCAAACTTGGTTATAGCAACCTTATGTAAACTCTGGTTGGTTATTTCAAGGTTCACCGTTACTAAAATAGAAAAAAATGGTTTCCGGGACAATAACTGACTTAGGATGACATACTGTAATTAAATTTGGTGTAATAGCAAAGCTTATATGAAGACCTGGGTTGGTATTGGCATTTGGACCACTCTGGGTGCAAGGTCAAGGTCAACCGTTAGGAAAAAATAGACAAATAGTTTTCTTCCGGACAATAACTAGAGTTTAGGAATGAGATATTGTAATCAAACTTGGTGTATAGCAAGCTATATGAAGACCTGGGTTGGTATTGCATTTGAGCCCCTGGGGTCAAGGTTTACCAGTTAAGGAAAAATAGACAATGGTTTCCGGACAATAACTAGAGTTAAGGAATGAGATATTGTAAATCTAATTTTGTGTAAAGGAAGCTTATATTAAGACCTGGGTTGGTATGCATTTGGACCCCTAGGGTCAAGGTCATTGTTACAGTGTTACTAAAAAATAGAAAAAAAATGGTTTCCGGACAATAACAAGAGTTAGGAATGAGATATTGTTATCAAACTTGGCGATAGCAAAGCCTATATGAAGAACTTTGGTTGGTATTTGCAATTTGGGCCCCCTTGGGGTCAAGGTCAAGGTCACTGTTACGAAAAATGGTTCGAACATATAACTAGAGTTAGGAATGAGATATTGTAAACTTATTTGGTGTATAGGAAGCTTTATATGAAGACCTGGGTTAGTATTGCATTTTGGACCCCTAGGGTCAAGAGTCGACTGTTATCAGTGTTACTAAAAATAGGAAAAAATGGGTTTCCTGACAATAACTAGGAGTTAGGAATGAGATATTGTAAATAAGCTTGGTGTATAGCAAGCTTATTTCGAGACCCCAGTTGCGACTTACAATTAATTGAAAATAATTCTTTGTACACAGTTGATAGTTGTGTTCAAATTTTTCTTCAGAATACTTATTTTTCAAAAAGTCAAAGTTGTTGGTGGGGGTATTAATCACCTTCAGTGATATGCCTAGTTCAACTTTGCATGAATATGATTCTGTGAACACAACAAAACAGTATGTCTAGGTCTTCCTGCATTTTTAGATGTATTTATTTGGATACTGTAAATGTCACATAAAATTGTCTCTACGTAAATGACAATATATATATCATATCTTATTACGGTGGAATTGTAAGGTCTGATTCTTATATTTGTGTAAAGGCAGAAAGTATCTTTATTACGTCATATTACAGATAGAAATAATATTCTCTTCACTTTACGAATCCTCCGTACTTTGTGGTATGATATTAATTCTGAACAAGCTGTTATCTGATACAGAATTTGTATATAGATCAAATTATTTTACATGTATATGGTTTGAACATTGACATGAAAACAGCATCTTCTGTCTTTTGCCTGAAGTTAATAATGAAGACAAACAATTCAAGCAAATGTGAAGTAAAAGTGTATCTTGCATATAGATGTAATAAACAGGTATACACACATGTGTAAATTATCCCTCCTCATAAATGTTAAAACATTTTGGTTCTTACATTTTCTACTTAAATATTTGCCATGGCAACAATACTTTTTATACAGTTGAATAAAAAGTGGAATATTTTTTTTTACAATATTTCATTTGGAAGATTTGGCAAAGTAAACACAATGTATTGTTTATCCCTATCTTTGTTTAATGGATTTTTGTAGTTGAAATATTTCCCTGCCATATTTTGCAGGGATCATTGTTAAAATATAACATAATAAATAAAAGTATTTTTTGTACCAGTACAGTCTTTGTTACATATTTGGTGAAGAGTAAGACAATATGAGGATTTTTAGCTCGACTATTCGAAGAATATGAGAGCTATTGTAGTCGCCCCGGCGTCCGCGTCGGCGTCCGCGTCGGTGTCTGCGTTGGTTAAAGTTTTTTGTAAAGTCAAATATCTCAATTATTGTTTGAGATATTCAATTGAAACTTACAATACTTATTTATAGTAATAAGGTACATCAGATTGACAAGTTGGATAACTTTACCTACAATATTGACAGAATTATGCCCCTTTTTAACTTAGAAATTTTGGTTAAAGTTTTTTGTAAAGTCAAATATCTCAATTATTGTTTGAGATATTCAATTGAAACTTACAATACTTATTTATAGTAACAAGGTACATCAGATTGACAAGTTGGATAACTCTGCCTACAATATTGAAAGAATTATGCCCCTTTTTAACTTAGAAATTTTGGTTAAAGTTTTTTGTAAAGTCAAATATCTCAATTATTGCTTGAGATATTCAATAGAAACTTACAATACTTATTTATAGTAATAAGATACATCAGATTAACAAGTTGGATAACTCTGCCTACAATATTGACAGAATTATGCCCCTTTTTAACTTAGAAATTTTGGTTAAAGTTTTTTGTAAAGTCAAATATCTCATTATTGCTTGAGATATTCAATAGAAACTTACAATACTTATTTATAGTAACAAGGTACATCAGATTGACAAGTTGGATAACACTGCCTACAATATTGACAGAATTATGCCCCTTTGAAACTTAGAAATTTTGGTTAAAGTTTTTTTGTAAAGTCAAATATCTCAATTATTGCTTGAGATATTCAATTGAAATTTACAATACTTTTTTATAGTAACAATGTACATCATTTTGCAAAATTGCATAACTCTGTCTGCTGCAGAATTATTTGCCCCTTTGAAACTTAGAAATTTTGGTTAAAGGTTAAAGGTCTTCAAAGATATTTACTTGATACTTTGCACATGTACTTAGGGTCATAATTTGAGGGTCATAATTGTATGTCACTGACCAAGTTCCATAACTCTATCTTGCATTAAGGCTGATTCATATCCCCTTTTCTACTTAGTCTCTTGGTTAATGTTTACATGCAAGATTTACATATCTCAATAACTATTAAAGATATTTATTTAAAACTTCACATATGCAATTAATGTCAGAATTGTAGGTCACTGACAAAGATCCATAATTCTATCTTGCATTTAGGCTGATTTTTCTTCCCCTTTTCAACTTAGAAATTCATGGTAAAGTTTTGCTTGTAAGCTGTTATCTCCATAACTACTGAAGGGTTTGTGCCTTTTTTGGGACAATTTTATGCATTCATAATAATAAAGCAGTGATTTACTTGATAAAACATCTTAATACCTTTTCTGTCAATTTTATGTATTCATAGGTAATTAGTATTATTATACTCAATAAAACACCCTTGTGACATTACCTTCCAAATAGTCAAGCCAATACTGTATAATTAGACTCTCTCTGAAGCCTATAACATGAATTTATAAAAAAATTAGCCCTTTTGTGAACTTAGAAAATTTAACATTATCAAGGCTCTTAGACTATCAAGCACTTAGAATAGTTGAGCGTGCTGTCCTACCGACAGCTCTTGTTGTAAATGATATTGGTAAGAATTTATTAATTTAGATAATAATCTACCAAATAATGAATAACGCTGACTTGGTGACAATATATATGCCTATTTCTGGTTAGACGTCTGTATCTTGTTGATAAACTTTTCTGTCCCTTGTAACAGTGAAATGTCATGTAAACGGGGTAAATGCTCGACATGGTATCATTTAATAAGTTATGCCACTAATAGGTTTCCATAAACACTTCATTGCAGTTGAATGAGATGTTTTATAGTTAACCATAACGCATTCTATTTGTGTGTAACATGAATAAGATATTTCAATTCGAAATACTTGCAATCATATACACCGACCAAT